TATTCCCAGTACCACCACAAATAAAAGTATATAATTCAGTTGCTTTTAATATATTTACAAAGTTTTGCAACTATCTCCACTATCTAATTCCGGAGCACTTTCATCATCCTAGAAAGAAATTCCACATCCATTATTAATCATTAACCCATTTGTCTCTCCCATCAGTCCTTAGGAACCACCTGTCTAGTAGACATTCAGAGAGATGGAATCATATTATATGTATGTATATATGGCCTTTTATGTCTGGCTTCCCACTTAGCATATTTTCAAAATTCATCCATGTTGTAGCCTTATCAGTACTTCAGTTCCTGGGCTAAATGTTCCTTTATAGATATATCACATTTTGTTCATTCATCAGTTTATGAACATTTGGATTGCTTCCACTTTTTAGTTCTAAATAATACTGCTTTAAACATATATTTGCCAGCTTTTGATGGACACATGCACTCCATTTTCTCAGGTAAATACCCTTGGGCCTGGAATTTCTGGGTCATACAGTAACTGACTTTTTGAGGAACTGCCAAAATGTTTTACAAAATGACTGTAGTATTTTACATTCCCACCAGCAAGGAATAAGGGTCCCAGCTTCTTCAAATTCTCCCCAATGAATATTGTTTGAAAATATATTTTAAGTTGGCATGTTCTTCTTAACATAGGAAGAAATATCCTGTAAGTCCCATGTCCTGTAAGTCGTTACAGTACTCCTGACTGATTTCTACTAAATCATCCAGTAAATACAAGAAATAACAACCATTTTGAAACTGCTGCCACTTTCAAATATATTACATTGCTGTAGTAATCAGTACGGTGCTGGAGTGACAGACACATTATCTGATAGAACAGAATAGAGCCCAGAAATAAGCCCTCAAGTGTATGGTCTAATGATTTTTGGCAAGGGTGCCATGACCACACTATAAGGAAACGAAAGTCTCTTAAACAATGTCTATAAAACTGGATAGCCACACATGAAAGAATGAACCTGGATCCCTGCTGTACACCAGATAGAAAAAACTCAAAATGGATGAACAACCTAATTATTTGACTTAAAACTATAAAGCTCATGGAAGGGAAAGCTTCATGATACTGCACATGGCAATGATTTCTTGGCTATGACATAAAAGCAACAATAGACAAATGGAACTGCAAACTTAAAAGACTTCTGTATATCAGGGGAAGCAATCAACAGTGAAAAGTCAGTCTTGTAGGGATGGTTAGAATTTATAAAATATGTCATGGGAGAAAATTATTGCAAATCACAAATCTGCTAAAGGGTTGATAATTCAATGTATATAAAGAGCTCCTACCACTCAACAACAAAAACAAGTAATTCATAAATGGGCAAAGACCTGAACAGATATTTCTCCAAAAAAGATATACAAATGGCCAGCAAGCATATAAAAAGACTCAACATAGGGCTGGAGGAGAGGCTGAGGTGGTGGAGTGCTTGCCTAGCATCATCAGTCATTAAAGAAATGCAAATTTTTGAAAAGAAAGTATGTGTTGACAGGCAGAAAAGTTGGAACCCTTGTACACTGCTGGAGGAAATAAAAATGGCACAGTCACCATGGATAACAGCATAGAGGTTCCTCAAAAAACTAAACAGTTGCCATATGCTCTAAGAATCTCACTTTGAGTATATATCTACAAGAATCTTTTCTTTTCTCTTGTGGTGTTGGGGATAGAACCCAAGGTCTTATACATGCTAAGCCAACACTCTATCACTAAGCTACAGCTCTAGCCCTGAAAATGGAATCTCAAAGAGATGTTTGCACAGCTATGTTCATAGCACTAGTGACAACAGCCAAGAGGTGGAAGCAGCTCAAATGTCCCTTGACAGATGATGGATGAACTATGTGATATATCTGTACAATGGAATATTATTTAGCCCTTTGAACAAAGGAGGAGCATGGTGGCATCTACCTGTAGCCCCAGCTATTCAGAAGGCTGAGGGAAGAGGTTCCCTTGAACCCAGGAGTTTGAAGCCAGCCTGTGTAACAGGACCCTGTCTCAAACAAAACAAAACATTTTAAACTGAAAAAGAAGTTACATAGTAATAAAACCTCCCTGAGGCTGAAGGTGCAATTCAGTGGTGCAGCATTTGCCTAACATTTGAGCTGGAGCTGGTTGGAGCTCAAGCTATGTCAAAACAAGAAACTACAAAAGATTTATTCACTCTTCATTATCTTACTTTGCTAGAGAAAACAGATTTTTTTTTTTTTTTGGTGAATTAAGGATTGCGCCAGGACAGATTAGTGAATCATAAACTTTCTGTTCTGTTTCCTACCTCTTGACCAGCTCAGGCAAGTTTCATCTTAGATCAGTTTAGATGAAGTGAAGTTCTTCCCAGGCTAAACATAATACTGACTTGACACCCCTGTTTGAAAATTAATAAGACAATTTTAAAGCATTCTATAAGTGGGGGAAAAAAACGTGCAAAAATTACAACCTTAATACATGCTGCCAGTAGTTTCACAGTTCAGGAAGAAAAAAGAAAAGCCAGAGGCTTTGCAGCTGCACTGGATTAATCAGAAAGGGATGAAAGAAACTTCCTTTCACATTACGAACTGTCTGATAGTCAGTCGTACTTGCTAGTCATGACAGGGTTGTTGTTTTTTTTTTTAAGTGGTTCCTAAACATTAAAAGTATATAGCTACTGTGTGTGCACACTGGTGTTAGGGATCAAACCCAGGGCCTTGCACATGGGTAGGCAAGTGCTCTTCCACTGAGCTATACCCCCCAGGCCAAAGCTAATTTTTTTTTAGGGTTCTGAGTTTTGGTGAGGACTGCAATCAAAGCATTTACTATGTGCCCAACACTACACAGATGCTGAAAGAAATGTGAGAGTCTAAAGTATATTTTCCAGTTTTCTTGAGCAATCAAGATTGTGTGTGTGTGTGTGTGTGTGTGTTAAAGTAACTAGAGGGTATCAATACAACGCAGGCTGAATAGTAATGCATTTGATAAATGGTCAGAGGGAATATATCAGGGTAACCTTGAAAAATCTGTGCAGTGAAGATGGGAAAGTGATTAGGCCTTAAGGATCATTGGATGAAGTTAGGTAGAGAAGAGAACGCAAGCACTGCAGGTGATACAAGCTGGTGAAAAAATTCTTCAAAATGTTATGTACAAGCTGGGTGCTGGTGGCTTATGTTTACTCTAGCTACTCAGAAAGCAGAGACCAGGAAGATGGTGGTTCAAAGCCATCACTGGGCAAACAGTTTCTGAGACCCATTTTGAAAAAAAAAATCACAAAAAAACAGCTGGTAGAGTGGCTCAAGCAGGGTGCCTGCCTAGCAAGCATGAGGCCTTGAGTTCAAACCCCAGTGCTGCCAAAAAATAATGTTATGTACAGTATGAAAATGATCACTTAAGTCACCCACCTTTTTCAAAAGACCCAACCTTAGTGTTTGTATTCCCAGCTACTCAGGAGGTGGAGATCAAGACTATTGCGGATAGGGTAGGGGTAGAGTTCTCTGGACCCCCATCTCAACCAATGGCTGGATGTGGTAGTGAGTACCTGTCGTCTATGCAGAGAAACGTAGATAGGATGATTGCGGTCCACCCAAGCATAAAGAAAGATCCTATCTTAAAAATAACCAAGATAAAAAGAGCTGATGGAATGACTCAAGTGATAGAGCACCTGCCTAGCAAGTGCAAGGCCCTGAGTTCAAACTTCATTACCACCAAAAAAAAAAAAAGTTTTCTGAAATAATCCCTCTTAGGTAATCCCTCTTAGGTAGTGAAGGTGAACTTGTGTGTTCACTCATTTAAGCAGCATGGGACAGACTAAAGTTAACTAACTGGTGTACTACGGGCCTGAAACTGGCCCTCAGCTGAATCTTATCTCTGAGCAGTAGCCAACTGAGAAATGAAGAAAATATCTTGAATGGAAGTGAGACGTGTTTTGCTACCACCAGGGGGAGAGAGCACATTAAAAAGGGCCAACTGGGTTGACAACCTTTTCTAACTCAGGAACAGCAATTGCCCCCAAACCCCACTAGACTTAGGACCCTAGGGTCACTCCGAAACAACCACTTGTAGGAGATTTTCCAGTAAACTGAGTGGTGAACTTCCACTTCAACGTTATTCCAATTTACACCAATCAAACAAGTATCCTCCTTCTAAAAAGACATTTATTGTTATATGTACCAAACGTTGAAAACGATTGCAGTATTCCCAAACTTGGAAAGAAAAAGTGTGTGTCGGGGGGAGGGGTGTGATGCTCTGGCAATTGAGTTTCTGGTCTTTTACAACGCCCATTCTTTCAGATGTACCCTGGCAGTGGACCCCTGGATTCACTGCCGCAACTTCCCACCAACAATCCTCCCTTTCCTTCTTTCTCCGCCTTCCTTGCATCCCTCCCCGTCCCGCTACAAACCGTCCCTACTCACCTGACCCAGAGTTACTTTAGAATCAACACACATTTCCTTGGCAGCCAGCTCTATGGTCTTTCTCTGCAGGCCTCCTCTGACCTCTAGACATTGCTCCCCGCGCCTGATAATGATTTGTTTGCTCTTTACAGAGGAAGGGATGCATGGAAGCCTCAGTTCTTTTATCACCCTGACGTAATTTTAAGAGTTTGTGGTCCAGGCTCAAGAACAACATGTGTTAGTTCACGTAATTCTCATAAAAAGCTCGGAAAGCGGGTTTTGATGCCCCTCTCATGTTCCAGGTGAGGACACTTGAAGCAGTTGAGCGCCTGCAGGGTCGGGGTGCAAGGTCGGGGTGCACGGTGGGAGGAGTTGGCTCCCAGCTGACCGCGTGAGTTGGGGCGCGGCCTCAAAAGGCCCCGCCCACTAACAAATTCTTTTACCTGGCCACCGCTCGCGTTCTGACTGGCCCGCAGCGTGCCGGAGCGCATAGGCAGCGGGCTACATGCTGCCCTGGGGGAGACACGTGACCCGCGGCGGGGCGGGGCCTAATGGAAGCCCCGCCCCCGGCCAGTTAACCGGCGGCAGCTCGGGCGCCCAGTTCACTAAGCTGCAGTGGTGTTTGAGGTGGTGTCGGGTCAGCCAGAGCCATGGCGACGGTGCGGGAGAAGGCGGCCGCGCTGAACCTGTCTGGCCTGCACAGCCCCGCGCAGAGGCCCCCCGGTAGGTGCCGGGGACCCACTCCAGGGACGGCACGCGGGCGGGCGGGCGGGCTGGTGGACGGGAGGGCGGGGTGCCGGGCGTTCAGTCGCCCCGGACCAGGACCGCGGGCTCGTGCAGCCTGCACAGCTGCGGCCACTCGACCCGCGCCCCCGCCTCCCGCAGAGCCTGGCTTTTCCCTAAATTACCCAAAACTCGCCGTGCGTCTGTCTGCGAGCCCTGTGCCAGCGCCCCCCGGCGTCTGCGGCGCAGGCTCCACGTCGTGACTGCTGAAAGCGGGGCCACCTGTGGAATCTGGCCAGCCCTTGGCCGGTCTCCAGCACAAACCCTGAGTGCACAGTAGGGCCACTTTGTGGTCCGCACTAGTAGAAATCAAGGGAAGAGATGAGACGTTTCTATTGTGTAACTTATCCTGGCGGGAATGTGGCCTAGAAGGTATTTATTAACGTTTATAAGCCGTATGTCAGTGAATCCGTTTTTAACCTTCCCGGCTTTTGATAGTTACATGACATTAGGAGAGAAGGTGGTGAATTCTGCCATCAGCTTAAATCGTACCTTTTGGTACGATTTTGGTTTAGGATCTTGGTTTCTTCAAATGTTCAGACAAATGAACCGAGTCAGGTGATCAGCTCTAAAATTTTGACCCTAGGATATCTATAAGTCAGTAAATAGGGTGACTCAGATGACTGTTAAGATATCCAGATAACACTTGGGTTTTTTTTTTTTTGATTGTTTGGGTAAGTTACTTTTTCTCCTTTCTGGAGCTGTAGTGTGGAATCTTATAGGAATTCGTTCCCTTTCTGAGAAAAGCCTCTAATTTGTAAAATGCCAACCAGTGAAACACTGACTCTTTCCCCTAGGTTAAATGGGTGCGTCTCAATGGCCCCACTCTTGGGTTTGACTTACTAATTAGTGCTCCTTTTAATGTTCAGAATGCTAATTATAAATTGCGGTAGACAACCACTTTTCATTTGTGCTTTTCTAAAACATTATAAAATTGACCATATTCTGCTACCACTTGAAGGATTCAAGATGAGGCCATAATGGCTACTTTCCCACCATATCCTGGATTTATACTGTGAGGGGAAGGGAGGTACTAAAGCACCGGGGAATTAAAGTCAGATGATATTGCAGGCTTGAAAAACCTTTAGGCTGTTGTGAATAAATGAAATTTCCTAATTTCACTTGATTAAAAACATGATGCCCTGCCCTCTTAACAGCAGAAATATCAATTCTAGACTTTGCATTTGTGACCAGGTGTGAGGGGAAATATATATATTGAAAAGCTAACTAGATGACTCTCAGAGGGAAGAGTTGGTTTAGTGGATTTTGGTCAAAGGCGCAGTGGACAGAGAGGACCCACTGCCTGATCCTTTGTTTTGCTTCTACTGCTGGAATCTTTCCCTGCTGTCATTTGTTAGTCCTTCTTCCACCTTTGGATTGCCTTGTCACTGTCCTAGTGAGCCTGTAATGGGAGCCAAGAGTTGTTAGTTCCTTGCCATCCCCTCTCTGTGTGCTCTGGCAAGCAGCTTTGTACTTTTCCTTCCCCATGGATTAGTGAATCTTTCATACCTTAAAGGGGCTGGAATGACCAGAGACCTGATTTATGAAGAAGTGAGGTTTACATGCTAACTTTCAGCCAGAACTTCAGAGGCACTTGTCTTTTAATATAGACAAACAAGAAAGTGGTTATCATGTTATCCCTTTATACTGTAACCTAATTCTTTGAATTTGCCTGGTGTCACTTTTCCAGGGAGCTCAAAGTACTTCCCATATGCCAGCTCATTAGTCCATGTGAATTAAAGAAGGGACCAATGCCTGCTTTTGTTGATACTTTTCTTTACATGTCTTAAAGTTGTTCTTGTCAGCAGAGGCTGATTTTGTATATTGAGCCTGCCATAAAGCCTTTTTAGAGGCAATCTCAGTCAGTGTATCTCTTAATGTCAAATAGAAGGAAAATAAATTGGATTACCAAAGCCAATATCCAGTAAAAGTGTTGCAATCTTTGTTTTGGTAAGGTAGAAACTTTTTTTCTACTTTGTCACAGCTGCTCAGTTTTAACACCCTGTACAGAATTCTGTATTTTCATGAATTTCAGTTATTGTCCCCCAAAAATGTCATTTTCCTTTGTTTTAAAACTGCCTTTGAAAACAACAATTGGGGATTGAACCCAGAGCCTTGCACAGGCTAGGCAAGTGATCTACCAATAGGTTATATCCCTAGGTCTTCATTTTTTGAGACAGGGTCTTCCTGTGCTATCTAGGCTGGCCTTGAACTAGAAATCCTCTTGCCCCTGCTTCCTGGGTGTTGTGATTACAGATGTGTAACACCAGGAATATTTTTAAAATAAAATTCTCTTAAATCCTAAGTTTTTTAGGCTTTATAGATTTATTTCCTGATGTCGCATCATGTATGTGTCACATCATGTCTTGTCATCTTCTAGGGGTCTTTGATTGCATTTCTGTCAGAACTTGGCATCATTGTCCAGGTACAAGGAGTAGATAAAGAGTAAACTTGAGGAAAGAGACTGTATTCTTAAAGAGAGAAAGAGGAAGAAAGGTCTTTCCCCCTCTTTTTTTTTTTAACTTCTTGAATGAACTTAAATTGTTAATCTGTTTAAAAAATTTAAGTAATTTCCTTAGTGTTTGTCCATTGTCCTATTTCTCTTCCAGAATCCCATCCAGGATATGGCATTACATAGAGGTGTCCTGACTCCCTAGGCTCCACTAGATTGTGACAGTTTCCTCCCTGGTTTTTGTTATTGGCTGAACACTGTGTTAGCCACGTTCACATATATTGTGTCATGATCCTCACAGTTAATGAGAGAAGCAACAGAAATGTCAGGCACTTTACCCCAGGTTGTATTATTTGTAAATGGTAGACCCAAAAGGAGAACACGGGTCCTGGGAGTCCGAAATTCACACTGATCTTACTCTCCCTGTTTGTAGCACCTCAAGTTTCCATGTCTGAACAGTGTTCGGTCACCTCGGGGTTTCTTAACCTGGGCACTGTTGACACAGTCTTTATTGAGGGGCTGTCCTGTCCTGCATACTGCGGATGCTTAGCAGATCCCTGTCCTCTGTCCCTAGATACCAATAGCACCTTCCACCCCATTGTCATTACTGAAAATGTCTCCACGAATGTCCTGTGTGAGGGAAAATGACTGACAACCACTGCGAGTTAAACTTTCTTTAAAAAATGTGTTTTGGAGCTGGGCACCAGTAGCTCACGCCTGTAATCTTAGCTACTCAAGAGGCAGAGATCAAGAGGATTGAAGGTCGAAGCCAGCCCAGGCAAATAGTTTAAGAGACCTTATCTCAAAAAAATCCTTCACAAAAAAGGCTGGAGTGGCTCAAACCCCAGCACTAGAAAAAAAAAAAGTTTCCTGGGGGCTAGCAGAGTGCCTGCCTAGCAAGTGTGAGAGTATGAGGCCCTGAGTTCAAACCCCAGTACTACCAAACAAACAAAAAAAAAGAAAGCTTTTTGCAATAACTTACAGCTTATAAATGTTCACCAACCAAATGTTTTATTTGGGGGCAATCTATAAAGCAGTTAAATAATTTGAACCTCTATAAACTGTAAGGAAATTTGAAATAAGTAAGGCACTAGCTCACTGTTTAAGTTTTATGAAAAAAAAAGATGAGTTAGGTGAATTTTTTTTAGTCCAGCCTGAAAATGAAACAAAAATTTCTGTTCACTTAGAGGTAGCATGTTTTATACTTCTGTGTGCTCGTTGGCTTTACATTGGAATCCAGTTTTGTAAGACTTACAGTCATCTGCTTCTAAGGATTTAATATAATCTCACTATTAGAAGTGATTATAGAATTGTTTTACCCTTAAGTAGGTTTTCACAGTAAGGCTGAAGCTGCTGTTGCACGGATCATGGTTGATCATAACTTTTGAGAAAACGTACTTTCCTGTCTTGGCTGCTTTATGACTTGCTTTTAAAGGAATATTAGTAATAACCTGATTATTTAGTATATATTCTTAATGGTACTGGGGTTTGAACTCAGGACCTTGTGCTTACTAGTTCTACCATTTGAGCCAGACCCTCAGACTAGTATATATTCTTAAAAGTGAAGATTACTGGCTGGAGGCATGGCTGAAGTGGTAAAGTATCTGTCTAAGCAAGCACAAGGTCCTGAGTTCAATCCCTAGTATGCCTAAAGTATTATTATAGTATTTCAAGTATATGTCACTGTTCAATATTATCTTGGAAGTTTAACTTCCTTATGTAAAGCTTTTCTTTTTTTTTTTTTTTTGTAGTACTTGTATATGAACTCACTAGCTAGGCAAGTGCTCTACCATTTGAGCCACTCAACCAGCACTTTTTTGTGTTGGGTTTTTTCCAGGTAGGGTCTCGTGAACTATTTACCCAGACTGGCTTCAAATCACGACCCTCCTGATCTTTGCCTCCTGAGTAGCTGTAATTACAGGTGTGAGCACCAGTGGTAAAATTTTGGGGGCTAAAGTTCAGATATCTGTGAAGGGCAGATCTGACTTTTGCCAAATAGCTGTTGTTTTCAAGTAAATAAAGATAAGACTGCTAGAAAAATATTTATTAGCCTTGATTTAATCTAGTGTTTAAGAGCATGCATGATGTTAAAGATGTAGTTTAAAATAATTCCTGAACCTCTTGTTAGACTACTTTCTGAATTTTTTATCTGAAAAGGTCAAATGTGTTCTTATGTTGTGTTTCATCCCTACAGGCCTGTCATAGTCTATCTGGTATTCAATGTCCATATCCAAATGCAGGAAGTACAACTTCAGTCTTTAAAATTCCTATGGTCAACAATTTAGACCCGAAACCAACCTTAAAGTAGTATTCAACTGTTGTATCAGCTGATGAAGAAACCTACCTACCTGTAGACCTGAATCTCTTACCTAGGGCCATTGAAGCTGATGTGAAGTCTCTTAGAAACTTTTGATCATGATGCTTTTGGAACATGCTTGACCAAATATACTTAAGTTCCAGAGGTAGATAGTGATGAATTTTAATAAATCGTCTGGCTTATATGCAAGTGAGCTGTGAGGACAAGCTGTAGCTTAAATTCTGATTGCTAGACTTACAAAGCATTCTTTGTATACTTCTGGTCTCTTGAATCCTGCCTAGAAGTCAGAAGTCAATCTTACTGGATTATGGTCTGCTGTACCAATATTCATTTTAGCTCTTAGATGCTGATAAATTCATTGCAAACTAGCATATGGGGTATCTGTGTTCATCTGGTGAGGTCAGCATTTTAAGAACAGGTTGTCCTGGCATGGGTTTTGGCACAATTGCTCATCAAGTACTGGCTATATTAAATGTATTACAGTATCTGTATGAACATGAGCGAGTTTGGGTCTGTGGGTGGTGGTGCTTGAAGGGAAATTTCCCAGGATGCAATGGTTGGAATTAATGGTCAGTGAGAATAGAAGGGACCTGAAAGGGCTGAATTGTATCATGCCTGGAGGACTCTAGAAACGTCATGTGGCTTACATGTGCCTACTGCCCTGCTCTAACCTGTTCTTTAATCTTTTATGCAGTGTTACCCAACCTGCAAAGTTTCCTGATTTCCCACATTTAAGTAGCAAGCTAATAGGAGGAAATTTATTTACTTCTCAGTTCTCCTGCGAAGATTAGCCTTTTCTACAGCATATCCCTTCCCTTTCACCCTCCTCAAGTTGTCTTTTTAATCTCAAATTAATAAGTGACTTTGCCTGATTTCTTAGGATTTAGGTTGCTAACTTACTTGTAGCTCAAGTTATGACTATGTAGTTCATTTTATTTTATTTTTATTGTTTATTCATTTATTCATATGTGTATGTATTGTTTGGGTCATTTCTCCCTCTTGGCCCCTGCCCCTCCGCCCCTCCCCCACACCTGTAGTTCAGGTTCAGAGGTGACTTCTATAGTCCCAGCTATTCAGGAGAAAGAAGCAGGAGAATCACTTGAGCCCAGGAGTTCAGTGTCAGCCTGGGCAACATAGCAAGATTCCCATCTCTAAAAAAGAAAGGAGAAGAAAAGAAATTCAGTAGCCTAAAAGCCTGTTTCACTGGTATCTACAAGGCAATCCGATTTAAGTTTGAACCTTGCTTTTCTTCCTTTACTGTCTTATCCTGATATACTGTGGATAGTATTTATTACAGAGTTTATAATATCCTGCCTTACATTAGGAGAGGGGTTACTAAGTGGTTTTGTTGTTGTTGTTTGTGGTACTTGGGATTGAACTCAGAGCCTTGCACTTGTTAGAAAAATACTGTACCACTTGAGCCACACCCCGGCCCAACTAAGTGATTTTAAATACCTTGGTTAAGGGTTCACAAATCTTAGAATTGTTCATTTTGTTTCTTCTGCTCTCTTTGGTCTCTTATTTAATTCTACTCTCCATAGAAACGTTAATTCTAAATCTGTTCAACATTTCCTCACCTATTGATTAACCACTTGTACTGCTACTACTGAGAACTGTCTGTTCAGTTTTTTTTAATTGGATTATTTGATGTTTTTAGTGAAATTAGGGTTTGAATTTGGGGCCTTGTGCTTGCAACACAGGCATTCTACTGTTTGAGCCACACCTCCAGTCCATCTTGCTCTGGTTATTTTGGAGATGGGGTCTTGAAAACTGTTTGCCCAGGCTGGCCTTGAACCATGATTCTCCTGATCTCAGCTTCCCAAGTAGCCAGGACTATAGGCACAAACCTCCAGTAACCAGCTGGATTATTTGTTCTTTTGGTGGTTAATAGTCTGGATATTAATCCTTTGGTGAATAGCTCATTCCATAGGTTCTCTCTTTCTTTTTTTTTTTGGTGAGACTGGGGTTTAAACTCAGGGCTTTGAGCTTGCAAAGCAGGTGCTCTGCAGCTTGAGCCACACCGCTAGTCCATTTGGTTATTTTGGAGATAGGGTCTTGGCTGTAGATTGTCTCTTGATTCTGGAAATGGTTTCCTTTGGACTGAAGCTTTTTCATTTAATTCAGTCCCGTCCATCAGCTCTTATATCCTGAGCTTTTTAGAGGCCTATTTAGAAAGTAATTCCTTGGGCCTATAGGTATAAATGTTTTCCCTATGTTTTCTTATAATAGTTTCACAGTTTCATGAACTTAAATTTGAAGATTACACCAAGTGCTTTGATTTTGGCTTTATTTAGTAGGGACTAAAATACTATACCAGTAATAAATCTAGTTCTAGCTTGATATATCTACTTATTCTGCATAATTCAGTTTTGTTTTGTTTTGTTTTTGTGGTACTAGGGTTTGGACTCAGTTGCCCCACCACTTGAACCATGCCTCTAGCCCTCCATAAATGAATTATTAAAACTGCTCACATGATATTAACAAGACTTGAAAACAAATACTTTCTTCTTTGTTTGATATACTGCTTTATGAATTATCTTCAATTTTTTTTTTTTTGGTGGAACTGCAGTTAAACTCAGTCTCTGCACTTGCGAAGCAGGTGCTCTACCCCTTGAACCATACCACTGGGTCCATTGGAGATGGGGCCTCTTGAATTATTTGCCTGGGCAGGTCTTGAACCTCGATCATCCTGATCTCAGCCTCCCAAGTAGCTAGGTTTACACTCAGGAGCCACTATGCCTGGTTAATTATCTTTAGTTTTAAAATATAATTTCAATTATTGAAAACAATCTTGCTGATTATTTTAAACTATCATTGTAATATCGGATAGTTGGTAAATTACCCATCTACTTTTGGTTTTGAAAACTATACAAAAAAAGGGCTAAGGGTGTGTCTCAAGTGGTAGAGTGCCTGCCTAGCAAGCTCAAGGTTTTGAGTTCACAAACCCCAGCACCACAAAGAAAAAAAATCTTCAAATAACTACCAAAGGGCTTTGTGTATGTGCTGTGAATTTGCATGGTAAAATATTAAAATTGGTAGTAGCTACAAAATTATGCTTTAAGTGAACACAGTGCAATGGTTCAGTGCACTACTTATATTTACTGCAATATAAAAGATGAATTCTAAGTGACCCCTTAAAATTTATGGCTTTATGGGCTTGGCGATGTATCTGAGTGGTAAAAAAGGCACGTGCTTTTAAAGTGTACTTAGCATGTTCTCTGCCCTGAGTTCAATCCCCTGTATAAAAAAAAAAAAAAAAAAGAAAAAACACCATTAAGATGAGTTTTAATGCTTTTTAGGAACTTACATTTCATCTTATGCATTCTGTTTTGTTAAAAATAAAAGAAGGCAATTTCAAGTACCAGTTTCTGAGGGCTTTTTGTTGTTGTCAAGTGTCAGTTTTTTTGTTGTTTTGTTTCATTTTAAATCCTCTTATTCCTTGCTGTTGTGATGATGCCTGTTGTTTTCCTTTTTAGAGTATATTAAAGGAAGTAATAACTTTTCTACTTTTCTGCCAAGGTATCCTAAAAATAAAGGAAGTAATAGAGAGGAAGCGGGCAAGAGAGCTGCAGCTACCAAGTGCATATGGTTTGGTAGATTCTTCTGTCAGTTTTCCTTTCTTTTTGATTGTTTTTTTCCTTTTCTTCTTTGCAGTTTTACCAAATAATTGATCTATTAAAATACGGGAAAATATGATAGGAAATTGTTGAAAGCTTGTTTTCCTTCTTTATGTTTGGCTAAAATCTTGCTTTATTTATTGGGCACAAACCAGTTTGCTTTGCTCTGCTTACCAAGTACCTAAGTTCTAAGCCTGCACAATAGGAAGCTTTAAGAATATTATAGCCTGTGTGTGTGACTGATAGACGCTTCAAAATCACTTGGCCATGAGTCATGTTCATTGTACCTGTTTCATTATGTCTGGAGCCCCGTGTACCTTGGTGAATCTGCTCTCCATCTCAGAGATGTTGTGCCTCATAAGGCTGCTGTCTAAGATCAGGTAACTGGCACTTGACCAGTGACTGCCACTACACAGGTGGTACTTGTCTGCCCTCCACCCCATCTCAAGTCTCTTCTCCACTTCCTGTTGCTGCTCCTTCCTCATGTACTCTGCCTAATGGCCTCCTTCCTGCTCTCTCAGAGCAGAGCGGCTCCCTTCTCAGGGCCTTTGGTCTTTCTTCTCTCTGTGTTTTCCCTAATGTCTGTGAACTGACTTCCTGGTTTCACTCATGTTCCTGCAGAGCTATAACCTTATCAGAGAAGTTTTTCCTGACATCCCATTTAAAGTAACAGTATCTTCCTTACCCATCCTGAGCACATACAGATCGTTTGCCTGTAATTCCACGAGAATAGAGACCTGTTCACTGTTACATCCTAACATTTCGAACAGCATTTGCCATATTGTAGAACCTTTTTTTTTTTTTTTGTGATACTGGGAGTTGAACTCAGGGCCTTGTGCATGGTAGGTTGGCTATCTACCACTTGATCCCCTCCACCAACCCTTTTTTTTTTCCTGAAACAAATTGCCATTACTCTTTCAATAATAAACTGCCCTTGTAGTTTCTCCTTATTGATAACTTTGGAAATTGCCACTTTTGGCTTAAAGATTGCTTAGCCTGCCTTCCAAATGAGCAAAGTACTGATTGTCAGTTTCTCTGATTTCCACCTCATAGGTTTCAGTGTGGCCCAGAAGCCATTTGGAGCCACATATGTATGGAGCAGCATTATAAACACTCTCCAGACACAAGTGGAAGTCAGAAAGCGAAGGCATCATTTCAAACGGCACAATGACTGCTTTGTTGGGTCGGAAGCTGTAGACGTCATTTATTCTCACCTAGTTCAGAACAAGTACTTTGGTGATGTAGATATTCCTCGGGCCAAAGTGGTGCGAGTGTGTCAAGCGCTTATGGACTATAAAGTATTTGAAGCTGTTCCAACCAAAGTCTTTGGAAAAGACAAAAAGCCTGCATTTGAAGATAGTAGTTGCAGCCTTTATAGATTCACCACAGTACCTAACCAAGACAGTCAATTAGGCAAAGAGAACAAAGTATATTCACCTGGAAGGTGAGTATATAGTATTAAATTATGGGATATTGGCAGGATTTTGTGTACTTTTTTATGAGTTACCAACATGCATACATACATGTATTACTTTTATAAGAAATAGTTTTGACTAAAATTGATCTCTGGGAGAGTACATTGAAATTTTATTAGTTTTCAGACATGTCCTTTATTTGCTCATATTTTGAGGAGAAAGCCAACAAAGTTTGATTTTTTTTTTTCTGTATCAAGTTATAGTTACAGAGTAAAAAAAAGTTAGAAAACGTAGATATGAAGTGGTATGAGAACAGAGAGAAGGTGAAGGCAGAGTGAAACCCAGATTGGAAGGAATCACTGAAATCCAGAGAGCGGCCCATATGAAGTGAAAGGCACGTGGGAGGCAGAGGCTGAGGGCTTCGTGTGATAGAGCATTTATGAGATTTTTTGTTGTTATTTGAAACAGTGTCTCCCTGTGTTACCTAGGCTGTCCCCAGAACTAGGCTCAAGCCTAGATCCTCGGCCTCCTGAGCAGCTGGAACTACAGTCATGTAGTTCTGTGCCTGGCATATTCCTTAATATGGATGTTGAAGAGGCCACAGAGAGTCTTTTAGCGTGATGAGATTATATTTGAGAAAGGTCATCCTGGGCTGAGGGTGTTGCTCAGTGGTACATGCTTGCCTAGCAGGAGCAAGGCTCTGGATTTGATCTCCATTACTGAGAGACAGGGTGGGAGGAGGTCATCCTGACAGGTATAGGCCAGCCTATTAGGGTGAGCTAGTTAGGAATCTACTGCAGTATTGTAGTCTACAGAAGGTGAAGGCTGCACCAACTAGTGTGGAAGAGAAGAGATCACTTATGGGGAGAATGCAGAGACAATCATGGAATCTAGTGATTGAAGTGAATTCAAGTGAGGAGTACATAATGAGTTTAGTCATTTATCATGAAGTAAAATGACTTTACCTTTCCCTCATATTCTCAGCTAAGCTATAGAGGAGAGGTAACCATATAATTTGAAGCACTTATGATTCAGATCTTACCTAAAGTCAGAGTTTAGTATATTGACTTTCATATTTTTTTAACTCTATATCTAAAACATGACAAAATTTAAGTCTCTCTATAGGAAGAAATATAAGGATAAGTACGGGGGTGGTCAGCTCTTTTTAGTCTTCCTGGTTTATCTGAAACCCTTAGGACCAGAAGTGCTCAGGAATTTGCAAATTTGGAGATTTTAGGAAGGTTATTTTGTATATAAATATTGTACAACCACCTTAGAGGGTAGACAACATCTGTGCAGAAACATTACAAGTTCTGTGGTGAAAATAAGAATATTCATACTAACTGGGTAAATAAAGACTATGATCATCTCAGGGCGGGTTTTTGTTACCTTAAAAGTCCTGAATAACCTTTTGCCTTTTAAAACTTTTTGGCTTCAAAATTGCAGGAAAGGGACTGTAGACCTGTATTTGGACAGTGATGAGTACTTTCTGCCAAAGAATGTCCCAGAAAAAAGCTAACAGATGAAATAGCTAAGCATAATGAGGTTTAGTTATATTTCTTTCTTCTTTTTTTTTAATTTAAGGACAGTGTCTTGCTATGTACCCAGGCTGGCCTCAAACTCGTAATCCTCCTTACCTCAGACTCCTGAGTGCTGGGATTGTAAGAGCATGCCGCCACACCCAGCACAGTTAGGTTTTAAAATTGGTGACTAAAATTTTAGTCATTGAATTACATCTAAATGAATGTTCACAGGAGAATTTATTTAAGCGTGTGTGTATGTGTGTGTGTGTATAGAAGGTGGTTTGAGAAAGAAGGTGGTTTTTAATATTTTATTCCACTCTTAGAATTTGCATTTCTCATATTTTTGTTTGACATACATTAACTCTCTAGAAATTTATAGTTCTCAAATACTAAATTATTTCCATGGGTATATTAAATTCATTTTAGGTATGCAGATACATTATTTAAGTCATCTGATATCAAATCGGACAGTTTGGAGGATCTGTGGGAAAATCTGAGTTTAAAGCCTGCTAACTTCCCTCATGTAAATATCTCTGCAACCTTGTCTCCACAAGGTAAGCTAAAGATGATAAGTATGAAACACAGACCCACTTTAAAAGTTTTCAGTTATAACCTCTATTAGAATTTCAGTATTCAAAGCACAGAGAAAGAGTGCACTCTGCATTAAAGCTGTTTATATTAAGTTTTAACAGAAGTCTATTATCTTTAACAAATGCATCAGTGTTGCAACTCTTGAACACCGACTTTTGTCCTGTCAGCTGGCAGAATTTCAAATCTGAAATGTTTTGCATGCAGATTCTTTCTTAAAATTTGCTCTCAGATACTTCTTTCCCTAAGATATTATTGGGTTAAATAAAAATTTGGAAAGCACATTAAAACATTAACAGAATTCTTATATTCTTCCTGTGACAAGGGAATGCAGCCTAAGGATCTTGGTTTCCCCCTCCTTCCCCCATCCCGGTTGTGGAAATTCTGAGTGGAATAATCTTGCAGCCCATGGTTTCAAAGCAGTTTTGAGATTGAATGAGTCATTCTTTCTTCCAAAGTCCTTATTAGCACGTTACATGACTTGATCTCTTATCTCTGACAGATTGCTTTATATAGTACAAAGAATGAAAGGAATTCTTTTTGTCCAAAGTCTTTTCCTACACTTTAAACAAATCTTAGATTGTTTTACTTTGTTATAAGCATATACTTCATAAGAATTACTTTTTTTCCTTCTATTTTACCGCAAATTTCTTTCTTCTATTATTTTTTTGCCACAAATTGGACCCATCTAGACAAATATTGTGATGAGCAGATAGTGCCTATCAATCATTACTTTTCACCTTGTCATTTTTCCTGTAGTTATTAACGAAGTATGGCAAGAAGAGACAATTGGGCGATTATTACAACTTGTAGATCTTCCATTTCTTGACTCCTTACTCAAACATCAAGAGGTTGTACCTAAAGTTCCTCCACCTAAGAGGCAGTCTGACCTGGTCAACACCAGTAACTATCTGGATCGAGGGATTCTCAAGGCCTATGGTGACTCTCAGTATGTGGAAATCCATGTGTAATCATACAGATTATAGATGGTGGTTTCTCACATAATCTTTTGAATTCCATCTGTAGGATCATATAGGCATTGTCAGTTGATGATATCAATATTTAAAACAGTGAAGAAGAAAATTAATTAGCCAAAATTAAAAAAAGATTTAAATCTCATCTTTTTTCACATGAAGTGAATGTGAAGAAAATGATTATACTCCATCTTCTTTGTTAAAATATGGGCTGATTGGTCTCTTAAGAGTCCTCAAGGACCTGAAACAAAAGGAACAGATTGGACAAATACTTTTTTTTGTGTGTGTGTGTGTCATTGAGGTTTGAACTCAAGGCCTCACATTTGCTAGGCAGGCACTCTACCGCTTGAGCCACTCACTCCACCAACCCTTTTTTGGTGATGGAATTTTTGTGAGAGGGTCTTGAGACCTATTTCCCTGAAGCTGGCTTCCAAATGTGATCCTCCTGATCCAAGCTGCCTCCTGAGTAGCTAGGATTATAGGTGTGAGCCACCTGTAGGCAGGCACTCTCCACTTGAGCTACACACCTCCAGTTGACAAATTCTTGAAATTTTTTGCCTATGTTTGCCTATATATTCCTCTAGAGTGACTATTAAATAAGTATTATTTTTCTTTTTTGGTTCTGGTATCAAACCCAGGGCCTTTTGCCCTGGGTAGGCAAGCGCTCTACCACTGAGCTACATCCCAGCCCTAGTATTTTATAATTAACCAGCTTCACTAGAGAAATGTAATGAAAGTAGTGCTCTGGGGGTAGAGGCATGGGTCAGCTGATAGAGCACCTGCCTCACAAGTGTAACCCCTGAACTCAAACCTTAGTACCATAAGAGAAAGAGAAAGAAAGTGACGCCCTCACCTTACAATGTTTTGAAAATAAGTCTTAGGTTGATGCTTAACTTCAGGTACTAAGAGAATTAAGATTTTTACTTAATTCTTTATTTCCTATAACTTTGAATACTCATCTCCTAAGTAAAATAATTAAAGGTTAAAGTAAGTTCTGTGCTTACAGTTTATTTAATTTTTAATTATTTTGCTTTGGTAGATAGTGTCTGGTCCAGTTAAGGAGATAGAAGTGTTCAAAATGAATATGATGTAATTTTTTAGTACTTACTTCCTAAGTCTACATTTTGATGAAGTATTAATATAAATAGCTAAATGTCAAAAGGTAGCTTAAAGCTTTATGTGAAAAAGAATAATCTTAACATACTAGTCAGTAAACTGCAGATGTTCTGCAAATTATTCTCACAACTTACTCTACAAGTAAATATTTTATAACTACCTTTTGCACATACAGAATCAGAATTTGTGCTAGAGATGACATGAAAGATCACCTAGCTGCAACTTCTTACGAATACAATGAGGCTGATGCCCGTAGAAGTGAAGCACCTGCCTGAGATAGTTGTCCTGAGTCTGTGGCAATAGAGGACTTGACTGTTTTTTACGCACACAAATAATTTGAATATTAAGTGTTAGCCATTTAATTGAAATGTAACATTTTTCTAAAGTTACTCAGTTACATTTTACTATGCAAATAATTGATATTTAATTATATTTTGAAACATTGGCTGTCTCTATTTTGTCTTAGCCACAGTGAGAGATGATACACAGAGCTTGAAGTTAGTGTTGTATTGTAGAAGTACTTTAGTGGTGTGGTCTGAGATCTAGTCCAGCCTGGGGCCTGAGCAAGTAATTTGAAATTTTTGGGGCCCCAACATAAATATAGAGTTTCAATTTTGATATCTGTTACCTCTGTATTATATGGATAGTTTCTGTTTTTGCAAAAAAGGAAACCACATTAAGCTATTTGTTGTATCTGTCATACACCATTTAGTTATATATTAAAGAGAATTATACTTTAAGTGTGTAGAAATTTATCTGCTGGCAAATTTAAAATAACAAGTAAATTTGGTACTATTGCATATTTGGTATTTTTTACTTTTTAAAATAATCCTCCCTTCTCCACCATAGGGAGGATGAGTGGCTGTCTGCAGCAATTGACTGCTTGGAATACCTTCCGGACCACATGGTGGTGGACATAAGCAGAAATTTTCCTGAGCAGCCAGACAGAACAGACTTAGTGAAAGAACTTCTGTTTGATGCCATTGCCAAATATTACAGTAGTAGGGAACCTCTATTAAATCACTTATCTGATGTTCATAATGGAATCGCAGAACTCCTAGGTAAGTTAGGATACTAGATTTTTATATTTTAGGAAGAAGCAGGAAAATTTAACTGTCCTCAAAATTAACAAAAACAGTACTCCTTCAAGCTGGGAGAGGATCTGGATAAATACATGGAAAGTATGTTTATTTCAAAACTTCTAGGCTTTACCAACCTGTAAAGTTTTGCAGATACTTCTGGTTGCTGGAATGAGAGCTGTTATTCACTGCAGCCTAGGCATCTAGTAGCAGTCATGGTCTTAGGATCACCAGCACTGCTCCCATCCCCCTGGCAGTCTCTCCAAAATGGCAAATGCTCTTGCTTTGTTCTTCTACCAGTGAGCCAGACTGTTCACATGATTTTTTAAAAATATAGTGGGGGTATCAGAGAACTCCTTCTATTTTTCTTAGGTAGAGTTGGCTGCATCAGTATCATACATATAGCATACCATCAACTGCACTAAGTTAATAAAAACATGGGCTGGGAATTTACAGAGTCAGGAGTTCAATTTAATTCCCTAAGATATTGTATGACAAGGACTTACAGACTTATGGTAATCATTGCCAATTTGAGAACAGACTGCCTTTACAGTATTGTTCATTCATTTTAATTCCCACTCTTGTTTTGGTTTGCTCTTGGAAATAATTTTGAATAAGTGTACTACTTAACATAAGCTGTAACTTGACTTTTGTTCCTTTTAATATTACTTTTATTGGTCAATTAAAGGCAGTTGTTTTTCCTTTTGGCTCAAGTAAATGGGAAGACTGAACTAGCATTAGAAGCGACTCAGCTCTTTCTGAAGCTTCTGGATTCCCAAAATAGAGAAGAATTTAGAAGACTGCTCTATTTCATGGCTGTTGCAGCATGTCCTTCTGAATTTAAATTACAGAAAGAAGTAAGTGTTGTTTAAATGTCAATTTTATTCAGTATCCTTAATCCTTGTAAGACGCATGACAGATTATTCTATCTCCAGCATCAAGTATGCTGAAATGGACAGTAGCTATTAATATTTAATATTCCCTTAATGATAAACTTAGCCTTTTAAATATGTACTATGGGATATATTTTCATTGTTTCATTTTTTTTATAGAGTGACAACAGAATGGTTGTGAAAAGGATATTCTCAAGAGCTATTGTCAACAATAAAAATTTATCCAAAGGCAAAACTGATCTTCTGGTACTATTCTTAATGGATCACCAAAAAGATGTTTTCAAGGTAAAACTCTGATAGTAGTTAAATCAAGCTTATTTGTAATAGTTCACTTATGTAGAGATTAAAATGCATTTGAATAATGTCCTGTATCCCCTTCTTTTTCTTAAGATTCCTGGAACTCTACATAAAATTGTTAGTGTTAAGCTTATGTCTATACAGAAGGGAAGAAATCCAAATAAAGACACAGGTAATCTGAGAAATACTATTTTCATGATCTCCTAAAGACAAATTCCTAGTGCTTATGTGAAAGTCTTTTGCTGTAAGTAGTTAATCTCAACGAAATTGTAAACATTCTCAGTTTTCTGTACTTAGCAGAGCCTCCTATGTCAAAAAAGCAACTTGAGTTTGGAACCATGGCTCATGCCTGTAATCCTAGCTATTTGGGAGGCTAAGATCAGAAGGATCACAGTTGGAGGGAAGCCTGGGCAAATAGTTTGAGAGACCCCCATCTCCAAAATAGCTAGGGCAAAGTGGACTAGAGGTGTGGCTCAAGCTGAAGAGTGCCTGCTTGGCAAGCATGAAGTCCTGAGTTCAAACCCCAGTCCCACCAAAAAAAAAGAAAAAGAAAAAAACCAACTTGACCAGGATCATCAACTAGTCAGCAATGCTTATTCTCTTTAATGCAATTTACAAAATGGTGAAGAAAAACATAAAAATAAAAATATAGTGGGCACTGGTGGCTCACACCTCTAATCCTAGCTACTCAAGAGGCAGAGATCAGGAGGATTGCAGTTTGAAGCCAACCCAGGCAAATAGTTTGTGAAACCCTATTTTGACAATACCCAACATAAAAAAGAGCTGGTGGAATGGCTCAAGTTGTAGAGTGTGTGCTGAGCAAGCATGAAGCCCTGAATTCAAACCCTAGTACTGCCAAAAAATAAATAAATAAAAATATTACTTGATTTTTCTAGTTAAATCCAAGGGATACAGTCATTAACTGGTCTTCATGCTTTTACACCTTAAGGCTATATTTATTGTCAGAGAATTGATGAAAGTGACTACTCCAGCAGTACACAGAAGACAACAAAAGATGAGCTGTTGAATTTGCTGAAGACTATTGATGAGGATTCAAAACTGTCTGCCAAAGAGAAGAAGAAACTGCTAGGTCAATTCTATAAGTGTCATCCAGACATCTTTATTGAGTATTTTGGAGACTGAGTATCTAATGTCTATATATGTTTTGTATTTTAAAAAATCTCCTAAAGACTCAATCATATTTGTAAGTTTGAAAATACTAAATATGAAACTGTACTTAATAAAAGTTTTTTTATACCCATGTGCGTTAGAAGCTGAGTGTTAATCGAATGGTGTATTGCTGTTAAATGCTGGCCTTGTAAGTAAGCTGATTTGTAATTATTTTATAGAACATCATAGGGATTCAGATATGACACGTAGTGTTTATATAAGGAAGTACTATATAGAAAGTCTGTAATTACATTTAAATAGGAGTATGGTTTGTATTTTGAAGGGTACTTTTTTTTTTTTTTTTGGTGGCACCAGGTATGAACTCTGTCTCATGCTTGCTAGGCAGACAGTCTACCACTTGAGCCACTCCAACAGCCCTGTTTTGTATTGTGTATTTTCAAGATAGGGTCTCTTGAACTACTTGCCCTGGTTGGCTTCAAACCACGGCCTTCTGATCTCTGCCTCCTGAGTACCTAGGATTACAGGTGTAAACCACCAGCACCTGGCTGAAAGGTACTTCTTAAAAGATGTAAAATAGAAAACTTAGGCTATGATACAGTGAATTTGCTAATTATCATAAATTGTACACAAGTCACAAATTAAACTGTCCTAATGCTTCTAAAAACCTCATCTTTTAAACTTACTGTGGGAGCTTTCAAGCATACAAAAGTGGGGAGAAAATAATAATGAACTTTTCCATATGGCTTCCCAACCACATTGACAGTTGCCACCTTAGGGCCAGTCTTAAATCTGTATCCCCACCCTTTCCTTGCTCTCATGACAGCGAAATTCAAACATCACATCACTCCCTCTATAAAATCAGTATCTGTGGCCAAAAGATGAGGACATTTAAAATATAACCACTAGATCCTTATCACCATCAAGAATGCAGTTAGTGCTCAGATTCTCTGATGATCTCAAATGAATTTGACAGTTAATTCAAATGTATCCAAATGGTGTTCATAAGTTACAATTGATTAATGTGCTTTTTTGTTTTTTCAGGGGGTGGAACTAAAGTTTGCCCCTCAGGGTTTTATACTTGCTAGGCAGGCACTCTACCATTTGAGCCATGCTTCCAACCCTGTTTTGCATTATTTTTCAGGTAGGACCTGGAGTTTTTGCCTAAGGCTGGTCTTAGATCACAGTTTTCCTACCTGTGGCCAATTGAATGAGTAGGTACCACCATGCCTGGGTTATTGAGATAGGGTCTCATGAACTTTTTGCCTGGGCTGTTCATGACTTAAGTGTGAGAGGCAGTTTTCAGAAACAGGCTCTTGAAACAGTAATGATGTCCACTTTGGCCCAGCAACTGTGTGTGCTATCTGATTTGCAGTCTTTTTTGCATGTAATGGCAACCAAAACTAACTCCTTCAGGGAAAGGTGGAGCTGACTTGTTTAGTGATGTTTGTACTTTTGAAGAAGCGACTTTGTGTGTGTGTGTGTGTCACTGGGGTTTAAAGTTGACCTCAACCCAGATATGAAGCCACACAACTATAACCAACTTGTCTTTGACAAAGGAGCTAAAAATATATGATGGAGAAAAAGCAGCCTCTTCAATAAAAACTGCTGGGAAAACTGGTTAGCAGTCTGCAAAAAACTAAAACGAGATCCATGTATATCACCCTATACCAAGATTAACTCAAAATGGATCAAGGATCTTAATATCAGACAAACTCTAAAGTTGATACAGGAAAGAGTAGGAAATACTCTGGAGTTAGTAGGTATAGGTAAGAACTTTCTCAATGGAACCCCAGCAGCACAGCAACTAAGAGACAGCATAGATAAATGGGACCTCATAAAACTAAAAAGCTTCTGTTCATCAAAAGAAATGGTCTCTTAACTGAAGAGAACACCCACAGAGTGGGAGAAAATATTTGCCAGCTACATATCAGACAAAGGACTGATAACCAGAATATATAGGGAACTTAAAACACTAAATTCTCCCAAAACTAATGAACCAATAAAGAAATGGGCAAGTGAACTAAACAGAACTTTCTCAAAAGAAATTCAAATGGCCAAAAAAACATATGAAAAAATGCTCACCATGTCTAGCAATAAAGGAAATGCAAATTAAAACCACACTAAGATTCCACCTCACCCCTGTTAGAATAGCCATCATTAGCAACACCACCACCAACAGGTGTTGGCGAGGATGGGGGGGGGGGAGGGAAGGAACCCTCTTACACTGTTGGTGGGAATGTAAACTAGTACAACCACTCTGGAAAAAAATTTGGAGGCTACTTAAAAAGCTAAACATTGATCTACCATTTGATCCAGCAATACCACTCTTGGGGATATACCCAAAAGACTGTGACACAGGTTACTCCAGAGGCACCTGCACACCCATGTTTATTGCAGCACTATTCACAATAGCCAAGTTATGGAAACAGCCAAGATGCCCCACCACTGATGAATGGATGAAGAAAATGTAGTATCTATACACAATGGAATTTTATGCAGCCATGAAGAAGAATGAAATGTTATCATTTGCTGGTAAATGGATGGAATTGAAGAACATCATTGAGTGAGGTTAGCCTGGCCCAAAAGACCAAAAATCATATGCGGACATTAGATCAAGGGCAAACACAACAAGGGGATTGGACTATGAGCACATGATAAAAGCGAGAGCACACAAGGGAGGGGTGAGGATAGGTAAGACACCTAAAAAACTAGCTAGCATTTGTTGCCCTTAACGCAGAGAAACTAAAGCAGATACCTTAAAAGCAACTGAGGCCAATAGGAAAAGGGGACCAGGAACTAGAGAAAAGGTTAGATCAAAAAGAATTAACCTAGAAGGTAACACCCACGCACAGGAAATTAATGTGAGTCAACTCCCTGTATAGCTATCCTTAACCAGCAAAAACCCTTGTTCCTTCCTATTATGGCTTATACTCTCTCTACAACAAAATTAAGAAATAAGGGCAAAATAGTTTCTGCTGAGTATTGAGGGGGTAGGGGGGAGAGGGAGGGGGTGGGGGCAGGGAGGAGAAATGACCCAAGCATTGTATGCACATATGAATAATAAAATAAAGTTGACCTCACATTTGCCAGGCAGGTGCTCTACCACTTGAGCCACTCTACCTGTCTTAAGACCTGAAGGACCTCATCCTAGAAACCTGAGGACAACAGGAGGTGTGGAAAGGACAAAAGACAAAAGACACACATGCAAAAAAAAGCTGGGGCCAGGTGGGCTGGGTGCTCACAGCCTCATCCACCTCCAGCCATGGAGCAACAGTTTTGGGGAGGAACCTGTGACTGCTGCTCTCTGAATGTAAACATCTTAGGAAAAACAGCTGTGCTGCATTTTGCCCTCTTCTGCTGCTGGGGCTGTGCCCAACTCAGCCTGCAGTTTATTTGATATAGCTGTGCCTAGGTCAAGTTCTCATAGGCCTCTCATACTCTGCTCTCCACATACCAGCTCCAAGAAGCAACATTCTTAATGATAATTTAATGGAAAAAATTCTAGTAAAACCACTTTAACTCAAACCTTATAAGGAAAAATAGGATATTTTAGGGTTGGGGGCATAAAGCTCCTGCCTAGCAAGCACAAGACCCTGAGTTCAAACTCCGGTTGCCCACACCCACCTCCCCCCTAAAAAAAGGCATCTTTACTATAAGCATTGTCAAAGTTTTAAACCGCTGGTTCACTGTTACCCCAAAAACCTCGGACAGCTCTCCTCCTGCGTGACTATCACTGTGAATTGTTAGTTGGGTGTCCTCATTTCTTCCTCCACGATGCCTTAGAGACCCATCTGCATGTGTATACCTGATGTCACCATGAGCCTTGTCACCATCCTATTAAACCAGGGCTGAGCATTTCGTCCAAGGACAACCTCCCTGTAGCCTAATGAGACTTGACTTTGTGCAAAAATTTGCTTTGCAAAATTCTACACAGGTAAAACTAAATTATGCAGGAGCAGCAATTAAGAAAACAGAAGCCAGCAAGAATTGGAGATGAAAGAGATCTGGGTGTTCCAGGGAGGTGACAGTAGCAGCCCACCTCCAGAGGAGCCACCATCTGTTTCCTCCATCACCCGTCTGAAACCTATCAGTGAACTCCTTTCCTTCAGGTGATTTGAGTTTCTAGTCCTCACAGCCAAAGATCACACTGGAACATATGCTAATGGTTTTAATATTTAGAGGAAGCAGTTTTCAAAATACATTAAAAGATTACAGGTAAATCATTCGAAATTAAATTTCAAAATTAAGTTTCGGCACCGTCAATGTCATCTTCAAGTGAAACTTGGTGACAATAACCCTTCAAGGAGAGTAGGGGGTCTTTCTGGGGCATGGACATAGTTCTGCCCTGGCAGCACATTAGTCACCTGGGAAGCTGTTAGTACTTCCTGACTGCCTGGCATCATCCCTAGAGTTTTCAAATGATAGTTTTAGAGTCCCTGTTCCTCACATTCCAAGTGTAGTAGGGTTGAGAAACACCAGAGACATCATTAGTGCATATTAGTGTGGACTCAGGGGTGAGGACACTTCAGTGTTTTGTGAGTCCTAACAAGTCCAATTAAGTATGTTACGGTTTTTGTTTTTCTCCTAAAGTCAATCTTCATCTGGCAATTTTTTTAAAAAGGAAAAATGTTTATTGGTAAATGGGGTTGAGAGTGCTGCATTGCGCTCAGGCTTCAATATTCTAGGATTTAGTAGTGTTTGAAAGCATCAGTTCCATCCGTTTTCTTCTAGTTACTTAAATGAGTTCTGTAGGCAACAGGTAGGAAACACGCTTTCATTTTAAGGCTACAGTGTGACTTTCAAATGAACAGTTGAGAGTCACATGCCTTCTATTATTTAAGGTCAGGCACGGTAACAGCCTGTCTCAATTCGTGTAGTTTGCTGTTTCCTGGGACGGAACGTGTGGCCCCGCAACACTGCCTGACCTCCAGGCAGACGTCCGTCCGTCGTCGTCCACGCGGAATGACACGGAGCCCCGGGAGTCGTTGGCCGCGGTGCAGCAGCCCACTAAGTGACTTACACGCCGTCAGGTGGGGGGCGTGGCTCTCAGCAGCCAAAAGGAGGGAAAGGGAGTAAACTCTGCTTAGCTTTAAGGATGGTGGAATATGTGTTTCAGAACCCTGGCGGGGAAGGTTTTAAGAGCGGTTGCTCCTAAAGAACCTTTCCTCCCTTCTCTTGTCTCCGCGCCTTCTTTCCTCACTTTTCCTCTCGCGGCGCCCCTGCCGGTACCAGGCCCCGCCTCTCCCTTTCCGTACGGAAACATGGCGCCTCCCGGAGAAGTGCGGGTGGCTCTCGGTGCCGAGTCACCGCCCGCTGCGTTCGGCCATTATCCAGTCCCGCCTCCCGCCTTTCCATACGGAAATACGGTGCCATCTAGCTCCCAGCCCCCGCTGCTTACTGAGCCCCTTTGCAAGTGTGGGACACAGCCGCCGTACTGTCCGTACGACGACATGGCGCCGCACTGCGCTGGGCAAGCGTCTTCCGGCTAGCAGCCGGCTCGGTTTCCCGACGCTAAGGAGTCGCCGTGCTGACTGCTGCCCACGCCAGCTTGGACAGTGAGGGCCCCCGCGGCTCGGTGAGGGATGTGACCTCGGAGAGGCCGCGGCTGAACCGCCCCTGCCCGCCGCGCCGCACCTAGCCAAGCCACCCTCTCCGCCAGATTTGCGGCGGGAGCGGCAGGAGGGAGAACGCTGACTCCGCCGCCAGGTGAGGGGCGCGGGTGCGGAGCTGGCGGGGCCCGCACGGGAGGCGCGCGCGAGGTCGGAAGCGCAGGCGTTTCTCGGCGTTTCCCGGTCGGGTCGGGGCCGGGTGATGTCGGGTGGAGGCGAGGATGAGACGGGGACGGTGGACCGGCTGAGGCCCACCCTCCAGGCAGCCACTCGGGGTCCTGCCACTCCCTCGCCGGCCCAACCGCGGCTTCCAACGGAATCCGGACATTGGGCGCGAGAAGTGAGCTGAGCCCAGCTTTTGCCGAAGTGCCTTTGCGCCACTGAAGCGGTGTGCCGGCCGGGGCCGGCATCCTCCTGGGGGTTGATGGTCGTTGCATGAATGAATGAGCGCACTGAGAGCAATGAAATGGCTCCTGGCTGCATCTTAGGGCGCCCTAATGATAGTTCCCATTTGTGGGAAAGTGGGCGTGTGCCAGCCTATGTTAGGCACGATCCCTGTTTCATCTCCCCATCCCCCAAGCCAGGAGGAACAGAGCTCTGTTTACAGAGGAGAAAACTGACGTCACACAGCCAGTCAAGAGCCAGGCTGGGACCCCAGTTGTGTCTAGGATCGACGCCCAGCCCCGCCAACCCACAGTGACATCACAGGGATGACACAGATTGTCAGTGGTTCCGGGGCGAGGGGGGTACACGTATTCAGATGGAGCATATGTGGCCCCTGCCCTGGAGAAGCTCAACATCTAAGTGAAGAGTTTTGTGAAAATACAAAACGTTTCTAGCACTTTTCTCCTCAGGCCCCCCACCCATCTTTCCACCTTCACCGTCTGCCACTTTTGTCATTTCCTTGTGCCTTAGTTTCTGTCCTCTGGGTGAAATACCCCTCGTTCTCTTTCCTCTTCCACTCCAAGCATTTTACAACTGGGTGAAATTCTCCTTTCAAAGATGGGCTCATGTTTTTTGTTTTGTTTTGAACTCAGGGCTTTGTGCTTGCTAGGCAGGTGTTCTGCCTTTTGAGGCACACCCCCAGCCCTTTTTTGCTTTAGTTACTTTTTGGATAGGGTCTGTTTTGTTTTGTTTTTTGGCCCAGGCTGACCTCAGACTGCCATCTCCTACCTGTGTCTCCCCGGTTGTAGCTGGGATTGCAGAGACAGAGACGTGCACTACCATGCCTGACCCTCAGCTCACATCATCTTTGCTGGGAAGGTTTTCCCAACTTCCTCCCAGGCAGTAGTTTCTTTCTCTGCTGTACATGATAGCAATTTCAAAATTCCATCCAGGCTTGGGTTTCATTATGGTTTCCTGTAAATATGTCTGTCTTAGCCTAGTATTTTCATCTTTCTGTTTAAATGAGCATATTTTGAAATTGAACTTAAGGCTGTAATAAATACCAAATGTCTAAAGAAAAGTGCAAACACTGGTACTGTTGGAGGAAACCCTCCCTGGAGGAGGTTGGACCTGAGCTGAATCTTAAAAGGGCAGGGTTAGTTTACTGAACTGAGCATTAGAGACCTGGGAATCTTGCCTTTCCTCCTCACTGCACTGAGTGAATTACTTCATCTTTTCCGGCCTTCTTCTCAGCATGTGAAAGAGAATAAAGTTGGAAGTGCTTTTGTCTGCCTTTTCTCATAGAATATTCTGGTAATGTTATCCTTTGGATCTTTCTTGGAGCATTTTCAGACCCTAATGGGATTTAGGATATTGAGGAGATGGGTGTTGGAAGGTAAGTTGGACGAGAAAGATGAAATACATTAAAACAGCCTTCATATTAATAATACAAGCCTGAAAAATTCAATTCCAGGAACTTATTTAATGAAGATCTCTGAAATTTCAGATAATTATACAAAGTGATTCTTTCTCTGATGTGCAGTAGTCTGCCAAACCTCTTTAAAGCAGTTGGTATTTCTTTTCATCTCTTGATTACCTTCCAGGTGTGAAAAAGTCTCATTAGTGTTTATGACAATGTTTTGTGATCTTCAAGTGCTGATGTTACAAATGTTAATTATTTTCATTATTGTAAATGCATAGTTGTGTCTTTCTTCTCCCTTAATTAGAAACACTCTAGGAATAGAGAACCCCAGGAGGGGGAGAAAAACTTGACAGAAACTTTCTTGTAATTAAGAGGCCTTTATTAACTGACCCAAACCAAAGTTGCAAAGTGATATTCCTATTCTAATGAGAAAATAATAAAATGAAAACTTCACCCAATCACATACATTTTGGTTGTTTGCAACTTCTTATTTTACTCATCTTTTCCTCATGACTGACAACAAATTAATGAAAATATCTGCCCCACACATTTCTCTTAAATACTTCATAAGAATCTAGACAGTACTTCTATTTGTTGTCCTAAGGTATTTTTATCCACATGATAGGATCAAGGAACCATTTTTTTTCTTTTATTTATATGTGCATACAATGTTTGGGTCATTTCTCCTCCCTTACCCTCCCTCGCCCCCTCGCTACCAGGCAGAAACTATGTTGCCCTTATCTCTAATTTTGTTGAAGAGAGAATATAAGCAATTAAAGGAAGGACCAAGGGTTTTTGCTAGTTGAGATAAGGATAGCTATACAGGGAGTTGACTTGCATTGCTTTCCTGTGCATGTGTGTTACCTTCTAAATTAATTCTTCTCGAACTAACCTTTTCTCTAGTTCCTGGTTCCCTTCTCCTATAGGCCTCTGTCACTTTAAAGTATCTACATTAGTTTCTCTGCATTGAGGGCAACAAATGCTATCTAGTTTTTTGGGTGTCTTACCTATCCTCACACCTCCCTTGTGTGCTTTCGCTTAATCATGTGATCAAAGTCCAATCCCCTTGTTGTGTTTGCCCTTGATCCAGTGTCCGCATATGAGGGAGAACATACGATTTCTGGTCTTTTGGGCCAGGCTAACCTCACTCAGAATTATGTTCTCCAGAAGGAACCATCTCTTGAGCTCAGTGTACTGGAAGGTGATTAAAAGCATTATTTCCAAGGAGTTTTCCTATCAGCTCTTAGGGGTGGAAATAAGGAATTTAAGATTGGTGGCAGGGGGAGGAGGTGGCCCAGATAATGTATACACATGTAAGTAAATGTAAAAATGATAAAAATAAAATTAAAAAAAATGAATTTAAGGCAGAGCTGGGCGTGGTGATGCACATCTATAATCCCAGCACTTGGGAGAGTAAGGCAAGACAGTCATGAGGTCCTCACTTTGGCACAGTCATGAGTATGTAGTCCAGCCTGGGCTACATAGCGAGATGTATCTCAAAAAAAAATTTAATATTGAAGCAGTCTTAATCACAAAGGTGATTAAAACAGAAACAGACAGTTTATGGTGTTGTCTTCTATTAGTTTAAGGCTTTGTGTTCTTGTGACATGTTACTCAGGAGCAGGACAACAATATTCCAATTTATATTCTCAGAGGTCTGTAAATTTGATAAATTACAGATGTCATTTTACAGGTATCTGTTTAATCATTGAAGTAAAATATTGTATATAGATAAGATCTTAGCAAGGCTATTTTACAGACCAGAAAACTAAAAAACAGGTTAATGGTTTGCTCTAAATCACACTGCTTGTTTTTGACAGAGCTAGAACACTTTGGCTCACTTTTTTTTCTTTCCTAGGAAAGTAAATAAACTTAATTGAGAATGTCTGAAAACCTTGACAAGTCCCATGTAAATGAAGCAGGAAAATCACAGTCAAATGATTCTAAGCAAGATCTGGAAGGTGCTCTGGAACATTCTGATGAAGTTGTACAGAAAAAAATAAACTCGGACTCTCCCAGTCCACAAAGAGTGCGAAGACCTCACTGTAAGCAAATCCAACTTTGACTACATGCACTATTGTCACTGTCTTCCCATGGTATTTTAATTAGGCTTCCTTGTGCACATGGCCCTGAGCTAGGTTCTAATATGACAATAATTAGCACCTAAGAATAGCAGTGATTTCTCCATGGGCAGCCTAGTTACTTGAGGATTTCAATTGCATGAGAAATTAAAACTTTAATGTCCAGAGTGTTCCCATCTTTCTCTAGCCTCAGTGACTTTCCAGATTCTCTTAAGTGCTCTGAGAAACAGAAGGGTGGAGAGCAAATTACAGCTTTAATTAAAAGAGTGAAAAGTCTGAGGCTGATTCCAGCCAGGACTGTGCTTATGTTTATGCAGGTTAAAAAAAATATGAGTGAGTTTGCCACACCCTAAATCACCACCCTAGGGGGGCTTGGTTCCCACAGATGGAGGGGATTCAATTTGCTGAACGAGCATGGTGAAATCATTTCAGATCCCTGGCAGGAAGCAAGCCCTATAGATGAAAGTGGCAATTTCTGCTTGTATTCCCAGCAGTTGCCCTAACTCGTGTCTTTTATTAAGAATACTTAAGCTTTTTGAAGTGAGTCCAAAAATGAAAGTTTTAAGAGGGAGCATCATAGTCTAAGAATGTGTGGGTTGATGTTATCTCTTTAAAGTATAGATGATCAGTAATTCTGCATTTTTGGAAGAAGTGCAAACATTTTTGGGTTTTGAGGTGTGTTTCTTCTAAAATGATCAAACCCTTCCTAATTTATTAGTCAACATAAAAGTATAGCAAACATTAGTCAACCTCATTTTATTATCACATATATTTGATGAACTCCTAGGGCAAAGTGTGTCCAGGAAAACATGCCCTATTAATAGCATAATCTATTGTGCATGTGTCAGACCTTGTCTCCAATATGTACAGTTAGGAAGCTTCTGCTTTCCTCTTTAAAATAAGGAAAATATGCCTATCTCTTAAGGTCATTGTGAAGATTAAATGAATTTATGCAAAGCACTTAGAATAGTGCTTGGCACATAATAAATGCCTAATGAACACTAGTGGTTGTTATTACTGCTACTATTATTATGTTACCATTGAACTTAATGATTGATATAATACAGCCGGGATTGATTACTGTAATCTGGGTATGCTTTCATTTGGATCAAAAATGTTGTCTCCTGACCTCCCCAACCCTGGCCCATGTGTTAAAAGCTTGGACCCAGCCTATGGTACCTGTGAGGAGGTGGTGGAACCTTTAGGAGGTGGGGCCTAATGGGAGGAAGTTAGGTCATTGGAGGCATGCTCCTGAAGGGGATATTGGAACCCTAGCCCCTTCCTCTTCCTCCTTTTCGCTTCTTGGCCATGAGATGAGCAACTCTGCTCCATCACATGCTCCTGCCATGATGTTTTCCCTTACCACAGACTCAAAGAGATGGACCCATTGGATCATGGGCTGGAACTTCCCAAACTGTGAGCCAAAATAAAGCTTTGCTCTTAAGTTGACTTATCTCAAGTATTTGCTTCAGCAATGGAAAACTGACTAATGTAGATAGAATACATACAGATTTCTGGAGGGGAGATGGTGCTGTGGTTTGAACTCAGGGCCTGTGCTTGATAGGCAGGTGCTCCACCACTTGATCCACACCTCCAACCTTTTTTGCTTTAGGTGTTTTTCAGGTAGAATCTCACATCTTTGTCCAGGCCAGCAGGCCTCAGAGCCCCATTCTCCTGTTTGTCTCTTTCGATAGCTGGGGTTGCATTTTGGAGGCCCTACTATGTGGCTTGTTTGTTGAGATGGGGTTTTGGTCACATTTTACCAGGGCTGGCCTCACACTATGATCCTCCTGACCTCTGCCTCCCAAATAGATAGAATTATAGGCATGAGCCAGAGTGCCTGGCCTTTTGTTTTGTTTTGTTTTTTTCTTTTTCTCTCCTTCCTTCCTTTCTTCAAGTTTACTTATTTATTTATTTATTTTTGGCGGTACTGGGGTTTGAAATCAGGGCCTTACGCTTGCTCGGCAGGCATCCTTATCACTTGAGCCATGTCCCCAGCCCTTATTTTGTTTTCTTATTAATATTTTTTGGAAATGCTAAGAAGAATTTTGTGAGGAGGAATTTTGAGCATTTTCCCAACTTCTCTTTATGTGACCAAATAAAATTTCCAGACAGGATGTGACCAGCTTCTAGATTTGGTTCCTTTTTTGGGGGGGAGGGGAGCAAAAGAAAAGAGTAAAAGAAGAAGGAAAGTTATTTTTCACTAATCTAAGAACTTTGTAACTGTTAGACCCTGGGCAAACCAGTAGCACTACTTATCTGATTTTAATCCCAAATCTTATCACCATCACATAAAACTATGTAGTCCTCTTGCAAGGCTGTGCCTTTTAAGACCGGCAACATCAACCTGAGACGTCAGAAATGCAGACTCCCTGCCCTTCCCTGACCTGCTAAATAGAAACCCTGAGAGGACCCAGCAGTCTCTTTTCACCAGCCCTCCTTCTCATTCCACATGAGCTAAAGTTTGAGAATGCTGTCAGATTTTTAGGAGTAAGAATTGCCCCCTGTTCTTGGTTGATGATAGCTGGGTAGAGTTGCACAAGAACTTTCTTTGTGGAAGATAAATCTCGAGCTGGATCCAAAGAGAGGAAGTATAGATACCAGTTATGAGACCATCACAGCAGCTGATACAGAGGTAGCTATAGAACTTGGGTAACAGAGCAGTGGGAATGGGAGACGTTAAGGTGACTCTTTCTTTGAAAGTTTTTGATTTAGTGGGCCTGCGTTCTATAAAATTCTTGTATCACATTCCTGTGGTCTACTTACTGGTAGGCTTCAGAGAGTTCCTAATCTGTCTCAATATCCTGGGTATTGGTTTTCACCTTGTTTAAATAGCATCTGAAAGACCTAATGTTATTTTAATCTGGGGAGATGCATTCATGGCATAGTGTTAGTGGCAGTATAGAAATAAATAGCTGATGGAAGCAAAAGAGATCTTAAATCCAGTTTCTCATTTTCTTCTAGGAAAGACAGGAGGCAGAAGGGCTAGAGCATCAACCGTCAGATTGCTGGGAAAAGAAAACCTATAGCTTAAGCTATCCATTTCAATTTACACTAATGATTTTCCATTAACCTGTTTCAGTAAAAAAACAGATGTTTTGAGTATTGTAAATGATCTGTACTATTAGGAGTCTAGGTAGAAAGAAAACATGAAATAGCTAAAATGCTATTGCTATTTGGAAATGCTAGAACATTTTAATACAGGTGTAACTAAAATTATTGCCTTCTACCAGAACCACTGCCCTCTCTTTATTTTAGCAGAACTTCTAGAGAACTAAGTCTCTTTCACTGGGTTTTTGTTACAGCTAGTCCCCCTCGGTTTGTGACAGTAGAAGAACTTCTAGAGACAGCGAAAGGAGTCACCAATATGGCCCTAGCCCATGAAATTGTAGTAAATGGAGACTTTCGCTCAAACCAGTTGAATTACCAGAAAACAGGTGAGGTAGCTACTGAATGATCTTGTTTTCTAGAGCACTGTTATTTGCGAGGTCTGGAAATTTCCCTTCAGTCAATGACAGTATATCCAAATACAATTTTCCTTTTGCACATTAGTACTAAAAAGCATTGTAGACTAGCAATTACTAATTTGGAGTGGAATGCAAGGCCACTGATGCTTTAGAATGCAAATAAAGGTCTGGAGATCTATAAAGCTTTTTCATCAGTTTCTCCATACACAGTGTGATTTAGCTGCCTCATCTCAGTTTTTGCTGCATTGTTCTATTCATTTCTTTATAGCTGTCTGTTGTACTCTATTTGTTGGTTTGCTAGATTTTAAACTCCATGAAGACAAGGACTATAGGTTATTCTCTGGATCCCTAGTGCCTGGAAAATACCAGCTTTTAATTAAATTTAAGATTCTTGATTGTACCAAGCACCTTTTTTAAAGGTACTGTCATTTGAAAGAAACACTGCCTATTATAATTGTAAAAATGCCATTGATTTTAAGAAAAATCCCTATTTCACAGATGTTAAAATATGAAAAAAGTTTGTTTTAGAATTGAGGAAATCTGAGTGTAGGTACCCTTTTAACAATTCACCATGTCAGGACTCTGGATCAGTATGTCTGTGACTCTCTTGGCCTGTTCCTTGTGGTTGCAGGGTGAATGCTACAACTTCCAAGTTTCCTGTTAATGCACCACCATTGCAGGGGAGAGGAAAAAGATTGGCTGAACTAGGGTTCTCCTTTTGTTAGGGAGGAATGTTTTTCCCTTAGTATTTTGTTAGTTAGATCTGGTCACATGCTACCCTAGCTTTAAGTGAGCCTGGAAAAGCTTAAATTTGGCAGCAGGGAGTGGAACTGCCATGATGGGCTTGTTAGATGAGTCATGATTTATTTTCATAAACAGAGTCTATGCTACCTTGTCAAATACTGGGATTTTGTTAACAAAGAAAAGGCAATGGCTGCAGGTTGATGAACCATAGTCTCCAAGGAGGTTTCTAAGTACTTGACAAATATTTCTTATATGTCTACAAGTATAGTACTTTATTGCATTAATAATGAAGAATTTTTGAGCTGGGTAGAGTGTGTATTTAGCATGCATGAGGCCCTAGGTTCAATCTCCAATACCACCACCACCAAAAAAAAAAATTGTTTTATTCTCAAGACATAAAAACTGATTTTAATGAGATGTTATGTACAAGTTATTATAGTTTGGAACCTAGTTCAGTAGTGTCCCATTTGTCACATGGTAATAGAGTGTTTTTAGGAACTAAAATTCTTCCTTCAGTTACATGCTGAATTGTTATCCTTTTTTTTCCCCCTCAGGGTCTCATGCTTGCTATGTAGGTGCTCTTACTGCTTGAGCCACTCTGCTAGCCCTTTTTTTGTGGTGGGTTTTTTTCAAAATAGGGTCTCGTGAACTATTTGCTTGGGCTGACTTCGAACCTGATTCACCTGATCTCTGCCTCCTGAGTAGCTAGGATTACAGGCATGAGACACTGGCATCTTCTGAATTGCTGTCTTAAACTATTTACTTGTATGTATTTTAGGAAACTTGTTAATATCAGGGAATTAAAACTGAACAACTTTGAATTTTCTTTGTTACCAAATGGCACTGCCAAGTGCTATTAATTAGACTACTGTTAGCTACTAAGTTAGTTGAAATTTATTCTTCCTCATGAGGTAGTTCTTGGGAAAAAAATCACTAAAAATAAGTATGTTATCAGTTTAAGTGTGTCTGAGAAATCTTTTCTTCTTATTTTTTAAGATTTTTAAGATTTGTTATCCCAAATCCATAGAATTGTGATTTTGAATGTGACTTGAAGCTCACATGTTTTAGTTTTGTTCTTTTTTCCCCCTGGTCTCTAGCTTGCGTCAGAGAGTAAAGGAGATTGTACATAAAGCTTTTTGGGATTGTCTGAACATCCAGCTTAGTGAAGATCCCCCAACCTATGACCACGCCATCAAACTTGTAGGAGAGATCAAAGAGGTGAGATGAAGGCAAATTGTGGTCCTGAGTACTCATTCAGCCTCTTCGTGTTACTGTACCAGAAGACTTTAAAATATTGAAGGGTCACAAACTTAAATTGTACTCTTTTTTTTTTTCAAGCAAGCTATAATAATTACCTGAAGGCATCATGCTTATAAACAAAGAAAGAGTTCATATTTTTAGTAACAAAATTGTTGAAAGACAACAAAAGCTATATTACAAAATATAGGTCATTTATAAATTTTAATAGGACACATTCAATTTATATTGACTCCAAAGTCATTTTGTCTTTGGGCGAGAGAAGGCTTTGGTGGAAGGACTTTGGGGCCTCGTGCCTGCTAGGCAGGTGCACTGCCACCTGCACCACTCTGCCATCTCTGTTTGTGTGCTGGGTATTCCGAGATAGGGTCTCATGAGTATTTGCCCAGGGCTGGCTTCCAACCATGACGCTCTTGACCTCTGCCTCCTAAGTAGCTACGGTCACAGACATGAGCCACCAGCTCCCAGCTGGAAAGACTTCTTTTGCAATACCTTTAGCAGTATCAAGTAAGAGACACAACTATGGAAATTGGAATTACTGATTGGCTCACAAGTTCCTATTAATAAGTGTGTTTTCCTTTTCCTACCATTAATAAGTTTTTTCTTATATCCTGGAAATTGCTAACAAGAGCTAAAGTAGCTAGTCTAAGTGACTAGAAAGCATTTTTCTGAAGATCTGTTGACTAATAGGTTAAAATATGTGTAGTATTATAGTAGCAATTGGTAAGCCTTTATTTAGATAGTTATACACTCTTTTATGTGTAATAAAAATGATGTCTGGGGCTGGAAGAATAGCTCAAGTGTTAAGAGCACCTGCCTAGCAAATATGAGGCTCTGAGTTCAAACTTCAGTGCTGCCAAAGGGAAAAAAAAGATGTCTGACTAGGAAACATTGATTAAACTTAGCTGTGCTCTCTTGTAGACGCTCTTATCTTTCTTGCTGCCTGGTCACACCAGACTGAGAAACCAGATAACAGAAGTCTTGGATCTGGATCTGATAAAGCAGGAAGCAGAGAATGGGGCCTTAGACATTTCCAGGCTGGCAGAATTCATTATTGGTATGATGGGGACACTGTGTGCGCCTGCTCGAGATGAGGAAGTTAAGAAACTAAAGGACATTAAGGAAATAGTGCCCCTTTTCAGGTATGGAAATGTGTCAGTCCCAGTACCGAAATGCAAAACCTGTTTTCAGATTTAAACTTCCTAAAGTCTACATACTCATGCATTAAAAAGAAAAATTAAAGAAAATATTATCTAAAATATAGAAGAATAGGAAGAAATTTACCCCTGATTTTACCACTTAGAGCTGCAGTCACTGTTTTCATTTTGATATATATATTTTTATGTATCATTCCCTCAACATTTCATTTTGAAAGATTCCAACCTTACAAGAAAGTTGCAAAAATAGATAATTAACACTTACATATATCTGTCATGTAGATCCAAGAGTTCTTCACATTTCATTACATTTGCTTTAGATGTGTGTATATGTGCATGTGTGCACACTTCCCTTACCCCTGATCTTCTGAGGCTAATGGCAGATATTGTGACGTTTTACCCCTAAATGTTTCAACATCTGTCTCCTAAGAATATGGTTATTTTGCTAGATGCAGTGGTATATGTCTATAATCCCAGCTACTCAGGAGGCAGAGATTGTGGGAGGGTTATGATTTAAGGCCAGACTAGACAAAAAAGTTAGCAAGACCTGTAATCTCAGTAAAGTAGGCATGGTGGCATGTGCCTATAATTCCAGTTACATGGGAGGCAAATATTGGAGGGAGGATTGTGGTCTGAGGTTGGCCCTAGACAAAAACATGAGACCCTACCTGAAAAGTAACTAAAGCAAAAAAAGACTGGTGGTATGACTCAAGTCATAGAGTTATCTTCTTAGCAAGTGCAAGGCCCTGAGTTCAAACCCCAGTACCACCAAAAAAGTCGTTTTTTAAATATACTCAAACTATAGCCAAGAAATAAAAGTAATCTAACATTAATAGAATCCTGTTAACACATGTATTATCATATAGCTTCTTTTATTCTTTGAATATTTGTTTGTTTGCAGTACCTTGTATATGCTAGGCAAGTGCTCTACCACCATGCTGCATCCCTCGTCCATTGTTTAATTTTAAATATATGATTGTGGTCAAATTTCTATAATTTTTAAGCTAATACAGGCAAAGGAGTGACATCATGCTGCCTGAGAATTTAATTTTTGGTTAACTGCTTAGCTCATTCTCTTGCAAACAGATAAATGAGTTACGTATCAGAGTGATGCTGGGAACATTGCTTGTGGGGAATGTGACCCCAATACATAAATGCCATCTGGATTGAAAGGAATGACAATTAGCTATAAATTCAGGAAGGGTCATCAGGCTTTGGATTTCCCTAAGTGGGGGAACTTTTATAACCAGGGATGTCCCTTAAGAGTACCCTCCAAGCTGTGCTGTAGAATTGTTATAAAATAGATTGGCTCCTGTGGGACATGAGGCATTTAAGCCAGGTGACTTTTTGTGTGTGTGTATGTGTGTGTGTGTGTGTTACTGGGGCTTGAACTCAGCGCCTCACGCTTGGTAAGCAAGTGCTCTACTTGACCCATTCCTCCAGCCCTTTTTTGTGTTGGGTATTTTCGAGAGATAGGGTCTTTCAAACTGTTTACTTGGACTGGCTTCGAACTGTGAGCCTCCTGATCTCTGCCTCTTGAGTACCTAGGATTATAGGCGTGAACCACAGGCACCCGGCTAAGCCAGGTGACTCTTCTTATTGGCTCCCCTCACATCTGAGGGGTCGCTTATAGTGGTTACTGCAACTCTTGCTGAGGAGTTTGTGTGGGGCAGGCCTACTACAAGCTGTGTGAATAGGTGATGCCAAATGTGGCTTGTGAATGTTCATTTGAACCCAAGAATAGCCCCTGGGGGGCATTGCAGGCCTGACTTTTTTCTATTCATTTGCATAGATAGAATTAATACAATCATGTTATGTGTAATTATTAGCTACTTAACCCTGCAATGAATGTCTTGTTTTTTGTTTTGGGATTGAAGCCAGTGCTCACGTGTGCCAGGCCAGCACTCTGCCACTTGACTACACCCCTGCTCTTGCAATGAATATCTTTATGCACAATTTCCCCCTGTATTTTATTTCCTAAAAACTGTTTTGGTTTTTAAATGGGATTACTATGTCAGAGTCTGAGCAGTTTTATGACTCATTATAGATGGGAGGTGTGGCTCATTGCATGTTACTACCAAGTTGCTTGCTTTCTAAAACTTTTATAAGAAAAAATATTTTTTTCATTTCCTGCTTTATTGATACCATTGTGAAAGAGAACAGATAGCATCCTCTTTCAATGCTCTGCTTTGCAAGGTTACCTCAGAGTTTAGAAAGAGCATTAAAAGACCTACACAGTTATTGATATTTTTCATTTACTCAGCAAGCTTTTATTGAGGCCTTCTTGCTAAACATGGTGCCAGATATCAGAAGTAAAATAGTAAAGAGCTGACAGTCTAGCAAAGGTATATGAGGAATTCCTTGGAAGAGGGTCATCTGGAGAAATTGCTTGTAGCAAATTCATTCCTACCATAAAGAGCAAAGACTGGGGGAGACTGTGGCAAATGGCAAAAAAAGATGTCTTGTCCAAAGGAGCTAGCAGTACCTATTTGTTCTAGCTGATTGTGGCTGCTACAGTGGGTCCAGGTTGTCTATTCTTTTGGTTTTTCAAGAAAAACTGGAGAGCCAAATGTGGTGATGCATGCCTATAATCCCAGCTACTTAGGAGGCAGAGGCAGGAGGATGAAGAGTTTTAGGCCAGTCTGGGTAAAGTTAATGAGAGCCTTCTTCAAAAACAAAATGGTTGGGAGGTGTAGCTCAAGTGGTAGAATGCTTGCCTAGCATGTGCAAGGTCCTGAGTTCAGTCCCCAGTACTGTGGAAAAAAAAAAAAAGAAGAAAGAAAGAAAAACTGGAGATCCATTGCTTCAGTATTTGGGGTTACTTCCAGACTTTCACTTAGCAAGCTGTTAGTGGGCAGATCCTTTCTTTTTTTTTTCTTTTGGCGGTGCTGGGGTTTGAACTCAATACTTCATGATTGCTAGGCAAGCACTCCACCACTTGAACCATGCCTCCAGCCCTGAAGTGAGCAGTTTCTGGAGAACTGTTGGAAATGCTTTCTAGGAGAAGCAGAATGCCTCCAAGGAAGAGTGGGCTGCCCATGGATTTGGGGGATGGGCCAAAGAGCAGTGGTGGCAGAATGTGGGTTTGATTATTCCTCACACTGTACGTCCTTTCCCATACATGATTTTCCAAAGGGCAGCAGGGGCCTCAGAAGACATCTGATCCTATTCCTACTTCTGTGTAGGGCCACAACTTATACTCGAACCTTGGGTTCTTAACTGCCCTTTGTAACTCTTAGTGACTCTTGACACATGGTCACAGTGGTCACGGTGTGTGCCAGGCAGGCTGGGAAGCACCACTAGCATTAGGTCAGGTCTGCCCCTGACCGGATGAACTAGCAATTGAGCCACCTGAACAGGAGCATAAAGCACATTCTAAAATTAAGAGGTACAGGGCTAAGAGGAAAGGAGACAAAGAGAGTTCATTTCCTTTCTTGCTAAGAAAATGAATTAACCTACGGAGAGTAAAAACCAGGGTGTGAACTCCCTACCACTCAGTGGATTGTGGTTTCTGACCCAGGGCTGCAACATGAGTGCTGGGTAGGAGCTTCAGGCACGAGGGGAAAGAGTTAGTACAGAAAGCAGCTTAACATTTTGAAGTCTTTACAAACGATTATTGAAATGTTTGTGTTTTCTAAATTTTGTTTTTCTTAACCTACTGTTCTCATGATTTTCTAAACTTGTTTTTATACCCTTTCTGAGATGAAAAGCTCATCTCTTTTCCTTTAAATTATGTTTACTTTGCAAGTGCCTGGTTCTGAATCCTTTCTCTCTTTTTCAGGGCAATTTTTTCCGTGTTGGACCTAATGAAGGTGGACATGGTGAACTTTGCTATCACTAGCATTAGGCCACATCTCATGCAGCAGTCAGTTGAGTATGAGAGGAAGAAGTTTCAAGAGCTTTTGGAGAAGCAGCCAAGTATGTGGCTTTATGGTGCTTACTTTTATTTATGTATATTTTTTGATGGGACTGGGCTTTGCTCTCAAGGTGTCACACTTGCAAAGTAGGCACTCTACCACTTGAGCCACACCTCTAGTCCATTTCACTCTGGTTATTTTGAAGATGGGGGTGATCTCGTGAATTACTTGCCCAGACTGGCCTCAAACCAGAGTTCTCCTGATCTCAGCCTCCCAAGTACCAAGGATTACAGGCGGGAGCCGCCCACCAGTGCCCAAATGTGGTGCTTTTTCATTATTGTGTTTTTTTTTTCCATTTTAGTTGCTGTAGCTTGTTGCATAACTGAATAGTTTTCAAAACAAAACTAAAATTAGGTATGAGAATAGTATAGTGTGAAGAAAGAAAAGCACAAGCTGTTAAGAGTATATCTAGAATTGCTAAGCACTGAAAAGAAAACTGACAAGAACAATGTGGGTAGGATGTGAGAATAGGAATGAAAAAGAATTAAGATTTTCTGAATGAAATGTTTTTTTAATGAAAATATCCGTTTGAGGTAAATAATAGTTTTAAAAATCATGACATGGCAGAAGTGCTAAATTACACAATTTTAAGAGATACTGCCTACAGTCATGGATCAAAAACTAAAGGTCCAAGGTTACTGCTTAAGTTATCAGGATGACTAACAGAGCAACTAAGTTCAGTGTATGAATAATTATGTTGGGAAAGTATTGGTGAGGGAGAGGAACTTGCTTAAATGACCTGACTCATCATTAGCAGGGCCCAACAGGTAGTATCTAAAATAGACAAAGGGCAAAGCCAGCCACAAAAAGGACCTGAAGGAAGTATGAAACAGGGCTGGTGGATTGATCTCATGCCTGCCTAGCAAGTGTGAAGCCCTGGGCTCAAATCCCAGTACCACTAAATAAATAAATGAAAAGAAAGTGTGAAACAGAGGTTGAGGAAAAGGAAAAATGGAAGGGGATGGGGGGAGGGGGGAAAAGCAGAGAACTGTTGTCTATAACACTCTCCCCTCAGGAGAAACATGGAATTTATAGTCACTATTCTTCAGGTATTGATTGGCTCTTTGGCCAATGACAAAGTTGTTTGGGTACTAACAAGTATTTATGGGACTGGGGTTGTAGCTTAGTGTTACAGAGTTTGCCCAGTATTTATCTATGTATTTGGCTTAAACAAGTAAAACATTCACAAGGCACAGAATTGGAAAAATATAAAGTACTGAGTAAAGTTTCTGCCCTGTTCTCCAAAAAAAAAAAAATCAGACAAACTTCTTGTGAATGTTTGTTCACTTTTCCCCATTGGACACAGCAGAAAATTTCACTTTATTTCTATTTGTATGCTTAAATTTGGTTCCATAATCAGGAAAGTCTCATTTTCATGAACTTCTTAGAAGACTGCAGGAATGTGGATGAGTGTAGAATCTAAAACTATTGTGTTTCAAGGGAATTTTCTTTTGGTCTCTGCTTTGGCAGCTAATGTTCTGGATAAATTTCAGTCTTCAGATACAATTTATGTGGAATTCTGTTCAGCCTGGTGCAGAGATGAATAATTATGTTGGGATTAACTAGTCAGGATGGTGTTACCTGACTAGTTAATTCACTGCCCCAAGCAACTGATTCCTCCAGCCCCAAACAGAGGAGTCAGAGGGCACACAGGGCCCGGAGGAGTCAGGAGAGGGCAGAGTAGATGCGATGGAAGGAGGAAATGTGCCGGCACAGGTCACATGTCAGCTGGTGTTGTAGCCCTCAGGAGGCACCCAGGGGCACAATTTTGGAGGCTGAAGACCTTTAGTGTTAGAGTCAGGTACCAGAGGCTATAGCGCATTGAAGGACTCACTGCTGAAGTGGAAGCCTTGCTGTAATTCCTGGTTGTCAAGAGTCTGTATTCTTGTCCACAACATACAATTCAAGGTTTCCAAAGCTGGTGGGCCACAAAGAATGCTGTCTGCAGATGGAGGCCAGATGGCTCAGCAATCAAAACCAAAGTCAGAGCTTGGGTGCGGGGGATCAGGGTGTAGCAGAGAACGGAGGCGCACATCCTTGTGCAGCAGGGCAGAGTGACAGCAGCTGTGACTTAGCTGCCTACTTGGTTTTAAGGAGACTCCTCTGGCAGGCCGGATCACTTCCAGGCCCTGGGAGGCATACTTTTGCTCTTAATGTGGGGACAGGATCCTCAGTTCTTTGTAGCCCTCAGAGGACCTGCAGCACGACTGAGCTTACACAAACGGGGAGTATGGTGGCAGATGAAACCCAGCTGAGGGCTCCTCCAGCAGTGCTCCCAAAGCAGTGAGGCTGTTGATAATCCCGGGTGATTGGAGGTCGGCAGTGTAGAGGGTGTGTTACACGGGGGACTGACTCTGGCCAGGATCTTATCCCATCTGTCTCTGGGCAAGAATTTCCGCCATCTCACAGAGCTGGAAAATTCAGAGCTTCCAGCCACATTGCATTCAGTGGTCAGGATGGGAGAGAAATGTGAGAAGGAGGCTTGTTGAATACCTGGTGGGTGGCAAGCTCTGGCCATGTGCTATATCACTGCAGTTGGCAGGTGTTGTACATTTGTGAACATCACAAGTTTGATAATCAGGAGGATTATAACTAGCTGAGATAACTCAGCTAGCAAAGGGCCATACTGTGACTTGGAGCAAATCCTATTGATTCAAAGTTCATTCATTTCCAGAATAATCTTCCCTGAGGTAATTTCAAGAAGCATCCCTGCCGAGTGTCAGAGTATTGTTTGCAGCTTTGTGTTTCACAGATTCCCTGGACTTTGTCACCCAGTGGCTGGAAGAAGCCTCAGATGACTTTATGACTCATAAGTATAGAAATGCCCTGCCTGCTGGGGAAGAGGCTGCTGGCTCAGGGGATGCTCCCACACCAACCCCAGTTGCAGTCCAGAATTATGCTTACCTGAAGCTTCTGAAATGGGACCACCTCCACAGACCTTTCCCTGAGGTCAGTGCTGCCGGGGAGCCTAACTACTCATCCTGCTTTGTGTGCTTCTGAGCCTTTTAAAAAGAATAGTGTTGTCCTGATAGAATTCAAATACCAAAAATTTCCTTTTAATGTGTATAACCCTGGTTTTTAGTATATTTTCTGAATTATGCAACCATTACTGCTATTCTTTTTCTTTCTTTCTTTTTTTTTTTTGAGTGGTACTCGGGGTTTGAACTAAGGGCTTCATTCTCAACAGGCATGACTGCCTACCACTTTGCCAGCCCTCTTTTGTGTTGGGTATATTTTGAGATACTTGCTCAGGGCTGTCTTTGAACCTTGATCCTTTTGATCTTTGCCTCCCGAGTAGCTAGGGTTACAGGCACTACTGCTATTCATTTTAGAACATTTCATCACCCCAGAAAGAAACCCTGTACCCATTAGCAGTCACTACCCTTCTCCCCTCTCTCCAACCCCTGCTCTCCCTCTCTCTCTCTGTGGATTTGCCTGGGCTGGACATTTCCTACAAATGTAATCTGGGCCTTTGTGTCTGGCTTTTTTCATGAAGCATAATGTTTACCAATGTTGTAGGGTGTTATCAGAACTTCATTCCTTTTCTTTTCTTCATTCCTCTCCATTCTTTTTTCTTTGTTTTGTTCTTTTGTTTTCTTTGCTTTTTGAGAGAGTTTTGCTATATAGCCCAGACTGGCCTCAAACTCTCAGTTCTCCTACCTCAGCCTCTCATATTAGGATTACAGGTGTGTACCTTCATGCGCAGCTCCATTGCGTTTTTTTTTTTATTGTAATAAAATAAACATACCATAAAGTTACTATTTTAATCATTTCTATTGTGCAGTTCAATAGCACTTAGTACATTCATACTGGTGTGTAACCATCACCACCCTCTACCTCCAGAACATTTCCATTCCCTAGACCATAAAACTGTCTACCCATCAGACAGCACCCCCACTGCCTCAGCTGCAAGTCCATAAACCTGACCATCCTAGGTCCTTCACATACATAGGCTCATACAATATTTGTCCTTTTGTGCTTTGCTTATTTTTCTTAGCATGGTGTCTTCAAAGTTCATCTATATTGAGGCACAAATCAGCATTTCCTTCCAGACTAAGGCTGAATGATACATTCCACTGTGTGGGTAAACTGCATTTTACTTATTTATTCCTCTGTTGATGAACATTTCAGTTGTTTCCACTTCTGACTGTTGTGAATTATGCTTTTGTGAACATTCGCACACATTTTGCATAGATGTATTTTAAATTCTCTTGGTTTCATATCTAAGATTAGAATTGCTGGGTTACATGGTGACTCCAAGCTTCACGTTTTGAGAAACTGTTAAATTTTCTAAAGCAGCTGCATGATTGTGCAGTTATACCAGCAATGTATGAGGCTTCAAGTTTGAGCTTCTGAATTTTTCTCCTATTGCATTGTTTTTGCGATGCTGGGTATTGACCTAGGGCCTTGTGTGTGCTTGCCAAGTGCTCTACCACCCACCTGTATCCCTGACCCTTAATTGTTTGAGATGGTAGTTCATGCTTGCTTTAAACTCACTTTGTAGCCCAGGCTGGTCTCCATCTCATGATCTTCCTACCTCAACCATGTACCACTACCCAGGTTGTGTCCTGTTTTTATTCATCTTGACCAAAACCACAACAATGAACTGGGCATGGTGGTGCATGCCTGTAATCCCAGAACTCAGGAGGGTGAGCAGGAGAATCATTGAGTTCCAAGGCCATCCTGGGCTATATAGTGAGACCCTATTTAAAATGAAACAAAACACTGGTGTTGCTTTATGCTTTATCTAAAGGAACTTCTTTCCCCTTCCATGCTGAGCAATGTTTTTCTCTTTATGTTTTTCACTAGAAGTACTTCTAAAAGGGGAAAACTAGCAAGAAATTCCCCATTTTGTCTGGAAATAACTAATTTGGTATGTAGCTCCTCCTGTCTCTCTTTTGAGGACACTCAAGCCTCTTATCTCTAGCCTCAGATCCTACTACTTTCCTAAATATCATTCTATCAGTTCCTTATTATTATTATTATTTTTTTTTTTCAAAAAGTTGTGAGCTTTAGATTGCACCTCTTGCCTGAGAGTTCCCTGTTTGTGTTGGAGGAGGATCTAAAAGAGTGTCGAGTGTTGGGGAAAGTGCTCCCTTCTGAAGACTGCCATGTGATCTTCTGGAGGGAAGTCGGTGGCCTGACATTTCTCTTTAAAAAAGCTGTGGGGAAGATTGTGGGTTTCACTGGGGATTGATGTCTACTCTGGGAATTGATCCTTGGGAATGTTTTGCATCCTTTAGTTAAATACTGCACACTATTGAGAGGCCACAAAGCCAACTGAAGTCATTGCTACCAGCAGTGAGGTCAAAAGAGAGAGTGCTGGTGAATCCATGAAGCAAAACTATTTACAACAGGGTTCTCAGTCACCAGAGAGAGCTTTAAGTCTTGAGAAGTTTAGGCTTTGACCTCAAACCGTTAATGCCTTCATTTGACACATCTCCGTTTCTTACATCAAGACCCATTCTTAAAGTTTATATGATTATCCCATAAAAACTCAGCCCTGAAGCTGGATCTGAGCTACTCAGCCTTTCTTCTGCTTTTCCCCTCACCCCACACTGGGGTCTTTGGCCCAGCATGACCAGGGTTGTCTTTAATGCGGAAGAAGCAGTTAGGGCAGTTCACCACTCCATGACTGTTCTCCAGGTAGTGGTGTGTTGCTGTTTGTCAGTCTTGCTCTGTCTACTGCTGCTTCTTATTTTTTCTTTATTCACTTACCAGTTCTTGAGAGCCTCCGTTGTGCTGGGTGCCCAGGGGGATGCCAGGGTGAATAAGCATTTGCTTTGAGGATGACTTCCTGATTTGTGAGGAGAGGAGTCATGGACTTGGGACTGGGACAGTCCTGGACAAAGTGGGAGGAGTCAGTCACCTTAGCTTTGTTCTTGTTACCCTTTCCTTTCTAGTGCTATCACTCCTATGGATTAAGCTTTCTTTCTACCAGTCACTTTATATGAGTATCGTTCTCATCTTTCAAGCAGCCCTACGAAGTAGGGCTCAGAGAATTAAAGAGACTTGCTTGAGGTTATATTTCTGTAAGTGACGGAGCCTGGATTTACACCCAGGTGTGTCTCATGTTCTTCATGAGTGTCTCGAGTGACACCCTTTCTCAGAAAGAAGGGGCGCTGAGATGAAAGGAGTGTTCGCACGCCACTGTGCTTATAGGCAAAAAGACTAGGAAGTTTTGAGGAAAACTGCAAAGGCAGGAGGGGTCTGTGGCCCCGCTGCCCTCTGCTGGCCAGCCTGAATCTCAGCTCAGATAGTTTTGGTTTTTTTTAAAAATGTGCGGGGGATTCACTGTGACATTTACAAAAGTTCTTACAAGATATCATAGTTGAGTTCCCCCCATCATTCTCTTTTATACCCCCTCCCTCCTTACAGACAGTTTTGATGGACCAGTCTCGCTTCCAAGAGCTCCAGCTCCAACTGGAGCAACTAACCATCCTGGGAGCCATTTTGCTTGTCACGTTTGGTACAGCAGCCCCTGGAATTTCCAGCCAGGCTGACTTTGCTGAAAAACTCAAGATGATTGTGAAGATTCTGCTAACTGATATGCATCTGCCGTAAGTGGCTGGGGATGATGGAGAGGGCCTTTAGTGGATGAATGGGAGCCATGGATGACCACCTGCAGTAAGAAATTAGTTTTCCATTGTGATTTAGTACGTACTTACACACATTATATAACTGGAACAAAAGTCCCAAAGATGGAACTAAATTATGTTTAATGCATCATGGTATTTTCTACCCTATTCTTATTCCATTAAAAAAGTACCAACTGAATATATAACCAACTAGCAGTAAAAAACACAGCCTTAGAGAAACCAGTGTGATCAGCAGCTTGGCTCCAGGTACAGTCATTTGCTCCAGCTGGAGCTCTTGGAAGAGAAAGGTCATAGAAGAAACAAACTGTTCCTTCAGGTGGGGACCCATAAGATTAAGTTTCCTGCTTTTTGTGCATTCCTTGTAGACACTGGGTTGCATAGCAAAATTCACACCTGTGAATTCTTTAGCAGTCTTGTGCAGTGCAGCCCTGTCACATGAGTTATATGATTTATAGCACATCAAATGGTTCTGAATACGCACTCCCTGGCACTCTCATCCTTCCTGAATGAGGGATTCACAAAGCATGGATGTGGTCAGTGTGCACACGAAGGGTGTGTCCTGGTGTTGTGACTAGGGTTTGACTCAGCTGAGGAGGCTGTTTGCTTGGCTGTGGCCAAGCCTAACATCCTTTCTCAGGTACAGCCCTGGACTGTCACCCAGATCTCTTGCCAGTAGAACTGCTCTGTCAAAGCTACAAATGAGGAGGGCCCTGTCTAGGTTTCCCTGGGAGTCTGACCCCACTCTCCCATATCTGCCTGGGCTGTCAAGGGATGCCCTAAGTTGGTACCTGCAGTCAATCCTCAGGCTTACTCCCTTTTACTCCAGAAATTCTGTACAGAGGATCTAGACCCAGACCAACCTTTAGTTCATACTTACACATGGTAAATACTCAATAAATAGCACCTATTAAACTAGCTGGAGGGTACCCCACCAGCAGGAGGGTACCCCACAGGAGCTCTAGAAAAGTCTGCAAGGCCCAGGAAATGGAGGTGCAATTTCCTTTTAACTTTTGGATTTTAGTTTTATTTTTTCTTTTTAAAAAATAGTTAATGCAGAGGGCTGGAGGTGTAGCTTAGTTGGTGAAGTGCTTGCCTAGCATGAATGAGGCCCCGGGTTTGACCCCAGCAGGGCAAAAAAAAGAAAAAAAGAAGGCACTCACATGTTTCATAAATCAAAATGTATGAAAGAGTACCCAATGAAAACTTTCTCTCCACTCTGATTGCACAACCATCAAATTCCTGATTACTTGTGTATTCCTCCAGAGGTGTTTTAAGATATTCTTAAGTCATTACACAGGCACTAGCAAGAAGTTGTGCTTTGGGTCATTGGTCCTGGTATAATCTGAGCTGGTATGTTTCTCATAGTCCTTTGTAGCAGAGAGAGGGGAGAAAGTCCTTCCAAGTCAGGTGTGCACAGCCTGAGAGGTAAGGAGCAGAGAAGAGAGCCACAGACCCCACCGTTAGCCCATAAATCCACTCCTTGGTGCTGCAGTTCTCATCAGGGCAAAGCTGATAGACTTGTTGTATGTACCTTGTACTTTTTTCCCAACTCCTTTCCCTTCTCCAGCTCCTTCCATCTAGAGGATGCACTGACTGCCATTGGGGATAAAGTGTGCCTGGAGGTGAGCAACTGCCTCTCCGTCCTTGGGTCCTCACCATTCTCCACAGACAAAGAGACCGTGCTCAAGGGCCAGATCCAGGCTGTGGCTAGCCTCGACGACCCCATTCGTAGGATCATGGGTAAGTTTGGTGGAAGTCATGCAGTGAAGAGTTCTGGGAGAGTTTTAATGGGATTATGAGTTCAGCTAGGTGAAGAGGGAATGTAATTCATTGCCACCATATGATCAGGTAACCCAGTGTATAGGCACGTGGGAGATGGCCATCATTGTCTTGAAGGCTCCAACTTCAGAATCACAGGCCCTGCTCTAGCACTTACCGTGTAGCTCAGCAGGTGACTTGACACTTGAGTTTCTGCATCTCTACAAAGAAGATGATACCAACCACCTGCCAAGGATGCTGGGAGGCCTGCCTATGTGAGATCTGTAAAGTGCTGACTGCAGTACCCAGCAGCACTGGCAGTGTGGCACTAGTGCTCAGTAAATAGTAGCTATTATTAAGGTAGCTGAAAACAAAACATTTGGTTAAAAATTAAGCAAAACTAAAAAAACTTAAAATATTAAGTATTAGCTGGTCACGGTGGCCTGCATCTCTAGTTCAGGAACTCAGGAGGCTGAGACAGGAGGACTGCTTGAGCCCAGGAGTTCAAGGCCAGCCTGGATAAGACCCTGTCTCGGAACAAAACAGAGGGCTGGAGGCGAGGCTCAAGTGGTAGAGAACCGGCCTTTCAAGCACAAAGTCCCAAGTTCAAACCCCAGTACTGCAAAAAAAGTTAAATGTTAAAATCTATTATTAATTAAAATTACATTAGTTTAAATATAACAAAACTGCTGAAATAGTAATGCTAAGATATTACTATAATCTATAATTAAAATATTTTAAATCATAGTCAGGAGCAGTGACTTATGCCTATCATCACACCTTCTTGTGAGGCAGAGATCGGGAGGTTCATGGTTTAAGGCCAGACAGGGCAAAAAGTTAGCAAGACCCCCATCTCAACAAACAAGCTGGGCATGGTGGTGTGCACCTGTGATCTCAGTGCTGTGTGGAAGGTGTAGGTAGGAGGGTCATAGCCCAAGGCCAGCCCATGCAAAAAGCATGAGACTTTATCCCCCCCAAAAATAACTAAAACCAAAAGTCGCTGGGAGCATGACTCAGGTGGTTAGTTGCCTGCCTAGCAAGCATGAGGCCCTGAGTTCAGTCCTCAGCACTGCCAAAAAAGTTTTTTTAAATCATAAAATGCTCTATAAAATATCTAAAATATTCCCTACTAGCTGTTTTATGGCCCTGGCACTGTGAGAATGTGCATCTGGGTACACTGTAATGTACAAAATTTTATTTGTCAATTATATACATACATAACTATGTATGTATTTTTTTTTTTTTTTCTGGAATGGTCTCACTGTGTAGCCCAGGCTGGCCTAGAACTCCCTATCCTCCTTCCTCAGCCTTCTCATTGCTGGGCTCATAGGTCTGCACCACCACACCCAGCAGCCAGCAGGGTAGGAGAGAGAGAAAAATTATATTCTCTGGTTGGTCAAAGAATACAATGTTTAATTAAAAAAATTCACAATTAATTGTGAAGCCCTTAAATTCTTTGAAAATAGAGTAACGTTAATTAATTGATTAAAAAATGATAAATTAGTACGTTTCAGGCAAAATCTGAATAATCTGTAGTTATTTTAAGTTGGAGTAGAAGGCTAGATCAGGGACATGGGACTTATTCTAAAACTATGACTTCTTATTGAGAAATATTTCATAAAAAATGAATGATACAAACGAATGGTTTTTTTTAGGGGGTTGTTGGCAGTACTGGGTTTTGAACTCAGAATCTCATACTTGCTAGGCAGGCTCTCTACCACTTGAGCCACTCCCATCAGCCCTTTTTTTTTGTATGTGTTGGGTATTTTTGAGATAGGGTCTTGCTAATTATTTGCCCAGGCTGGCTTCAAATCTCTATCCTCCTGATCTCTGCTAGAATTACAGGCACAAGCCACTGGCAACCAGCAATGATTTTCTTTTTTTAATTAAAAAAATTTCAAAAAACCCTTCATTTTACCTGAGCTCTGCATTGTTCACAGTTTAATCTATAGGCCATTGAGAAGGAGGCTCTTGGAGATCCTGAAGGGCCCACAGAACATCAAGATTTATCTCCTGTAAATGCCGCAATGTACCCCGACCCAGCACAATTAAAAAAAAAAAAAAAGATCTCCACCTTGGTAGAAGTACTTGTAAACAGACCTGTGGCTACCAAGTTACTTCTTGTCCTGCCATTTGGTGGTTGCCTGATAGACAGTTACAGGTGCAGGGATAGAAACCAGCTCTTGGGTGGGAATGGTACAAGGAGCTCCACTTCTGGGTGAGGCTTCCAGCTCTGGGATCCTTAGGAACAGGGCACTAGGACTTCCATCAGCAGTTTCTCTGTCAATGTGCTTTTAGATTCAGAAAACGCAAGTTTGCACCTGAGAAGGCTGAGAGTAGGGGTTGGGACGTGGTTTGACTATTCCTTATTGTCTGTATTGCTTTTATAATAAAACACTGTACCACTGAGCTATACCCCCAACCCTCTTTTCTTTTCTGAATTTGGGATTCCTGCTTTATTTTTCCTTCTTTGTATGTGTTCTTCAGTGATAGCTAATGTTGGTCTCAGTGTGCCTTGCTCCTCTAAGAGCAGAACATGTCAACACTTCAGTCACCCTATAGTCATCCACACATGTTCTTGCCTTGCAAATATGTTTGGAGTTTGTCCTGGGGGTCAGGTCTCATATACCAGGCACTGTGCAGGAGAGACTGATGAGCAAGGTAAGTGTAGTTCCCACCTCGGTGACACAAGCCATCTAGAAGAAGAGGTTATTGCCATGGGGATGAATGTTCACAACTGTCTGATCTAGAGGTGGTGGGGAAGACTTCCCCAAAGAGCTGATGGTCAAACTAAGAACTGAAGTGTAATCAGAAGTTTGTAAGGTCAACTGAATGAAAAACAACTGCTCACTTTTTTCCATCACAGAATCCCGAATCCTGACTTTCTTGGAAACCTACCTTGCCTCCGGTCAGCAGAAGCCATTGCCCACCGTGCCTGGGGGACTGGGTCCAATTCAGAAAGAGCTGGAGGAAGTTGCTGTGAAATTTGTTCGCTTGGTCAACTATAACAAGATGGTCTTCTGCCCTTACTATGATGCAATCCTCAGTAAGCTCCGCCTCCCATCCTAATGTGAGCGTGCCCTACAGCAGCAGTGTTAGCCACTCGCCTCAGAGTTCCTGTTCTCCACTCTCCCGTGCTTTGGAAAATGGCTATGTAGTACATTTCTACTTAACAGCACTGATTCCAAAAGGAAGAATAGTGTGTGTCACTTTGCAAAGACTTGTTGAAGAATGCACTGAATTCTATTTTGAGGGATTGTATTTATGAGTGCAAGTTTACAAATCAAAGAAGCTTTCTGTTATCTCCAGTTTTATAGATAACACTCAGCTTTTAGTAGTTGACTGACTGCCTGTGTTTTCACTCTGACTCCATCAGATTGTAGCGGCTGTGTTCTTCCAAGAAGGTGGAACCTCCCTCTTCTGTGATCTGTGGGTAACTCTCCTTTCAGATGCCCCATGTTGATAGCCACCAAGAGTAAAAGGGACTAAGCCATGACTTGACCTCTCGTTCCTTCTTGCACAGCCTTCCCATTCCTCTCCCCTCTAGGTACTTTGGGCTAGAAGGACTATATATAGTCTTACCCCACACTCGCTCCATTTATTGCTTCCTCTGGCCTGGCCTAGCCAGGGCTCCAGAGCCCTTCTGTTCTAGAGCAGAGTTACTTTGAAAAGCTTGTTTGTTGGGCTGGGGATATAGCGCAATGGTAGAGCATTTGCCTTGCATGAGCAAAGTTTGATTCCCAGCCCTGCAGAATACACACACACACCCGGACATGGTGGCACACACCTGTGGTCTCAGCTACTCTAGATGAGGCAGGAGGATTGTTTAGGCCCAGGAGTTCAGGGCTAGCTTGGGTAACATAGAATCTATCTTCCCCCCCACCCCCCCAAGTGTTCTTTTCTACAGAATTACTGCTGAGCCTGGATGATACCAGTTAAGATTGTTGGAGCTGGGCATAGTGGTGTATACCTGTAATCAGCACGCAAGAGGCTGAGGCAGGAGGATCACGAATTCAAGACTAGCCTGAGCTACATTAAAACAAAATAATAACAAAAAGACTCATGAGATCTAAAGAAAGGAAATTCTTTTAAACATTGGAAGTTATGGAGGAAATTTTCAAGATATATGTACATAGTGTAATAGGAAGAAGAGAAATATGTGGGAGTTTTATTGAAAAATTCACTCTGATACAATACAAAGATGTGTTTATTAAATTAGAATTCTGGAATTACATTGAGGTATTTTCAGGTAAAATAGTCCAACTTTGCAAATCTAGATGAGGAAGTCTTAGACAAAGCCCCAGTATTTGAGTAGTAATTTTCAAGGGACTTCAGTGACCTGAATCCTTGCTATGCCCTGTGACTGCGAGGGTACGTTGGATCTCACAATGATCTGTCCTGTTTAAAACAAAACTGTGTATACACAGAGTACATTTTAGACAGGGACATTGTGTTAGAAGCAGAGCCATGAGACTGTTGGAGTGACCTGCAGCTGCCAGAATGCAAGGACAAGACAATGCAAGGAGCCAGGCGCTGGCAGCCCACGCCTATAATCCTAGCTACTGGGGAGGCAGAGATAGGAGGATCGCAGTTCGAGGCCAGCCCTACCTCAAAAATACCCAACACAAAACAGGGCTGGTGGAATGGTTCAAGTAGTAAAGCACCTGAGTTCAAACCCCAGTACTGTGACCCCCTCCCAAAAAAAAAGACAATGCAAGGAATTCCTTTATTAATGTGGGAGTGGGCAAAGAGGAATGTTTGCACTATAGACTGTTTAATGATTCTAGGCTGTGAATGGTGGAAACCAGGTGCTGGGCTGGTGATGCAACCAAAATCCCAGCAATCACAGCACTCAGGAGGTGGAGGCAAGAGGATCACGAGTTCAGTCCAGCCTGGGCTACAGAGAAAGTTCCAAGCCAGCCTCAGCTATATAGCAAGACCCTGCCTCAAAAACACAGAGTGAATGATGAGAGCCGGGTGACATGCCTGTAACCCTGGCAGTTGGGAGGATGAGGGAGCAAGTGTGCACTATCAGTTCTGCTCCAAGGCTGCTGTTTGCATCAAAAATATGCTGCTTTATTTAAGTGGTCAGAAATTTTGACTGAAGGACAGATTTAGGACATAAGAGCCATTCAGTGGGGCTGGGGTGTAGCTCAGTGGTAGAGAGGTTGCCTAGCAGGCCTGAGGCTTTTCGTTTGATCCCCAGTGGCGCCCACTATCTGTGTGTTGGGCTAGCCTTGCTCCCTTAGGCCTCAGTATTTTCATGTACAGAATGGGATCACTACTAACTGCCACTGTTGCTGTGAGGACCAAGCTTGTGGCGATTAGAACGCTCTGTAGATGGCAAAGAGCTTCAAATTGCTTTGTTACCTAAGCCACATGTAACTTGTGGCTGAGGTGGCGGGTTGAGCAGCGGTACCGGCCTCCCCGGAGTCCAGCACATTTTCACAGGTTACGGAGGAGGCCTGCTTCCTGTGTCCCCCAGGCCGGCATTCACTTCCCTCATCTGCACTGCAGCTGCAGTTTCCTTTCCTCCCCGCCATTTCTCCTCTCCACTGCTTGCGGTGCTTGAACGGATGCTAAGGAGTACGGCTGCGAGAGTCACAGTTGCGGGCCCTGCTCACGTCCCATCAAAACCCCGCGGCGACAGCCTGCGCGTCCGCAAGGAGCTTTGCATTACACAGCGGCTGGGCTGCGAGCGCCAGCCTCAGATGCCAGGCACCCTGGGGAGAGCCGTCCCCACGCGGGCTCAGGAGCCCAAGGGGAAGCCATGCTCCCTTCAAAACCTAGGGACAAAATGTGGCTGTAGGCCGGGCCTGATGGCATGTCATCGATTTTGAAGTCACGTGTTGGCGCTAGTGTCACCGGTCACACTTCGATTCCCTGCGGCCCACTTTTAAGTTCATCTCAACTAAACATTGAGCACTTCTCAGTGCAACTTCCGACTTAAACGTAATCTTAAAGTAACACTTCTCTATTTCCGGTCTTACTCATGCTGCTTCTGTTTATTTTTGGGTTTTTTTTGGTTTTTTTTTTGCCGCACTGGGGTTTGAACTCGGGGCCTGCGCTTGCCAGGCAGGCCTCTACAGCTTGATCCTCTCAGCCAGCTCGGCCTCTGCTTTTTCATCTACCGCCTTCCTAATGCGCAGTTTGGTCAGTACTCGGGGAAGAAAGTTGTAAATGGCTGAGTTGCTTTTCCTCACTTTGTTCTGTTTTTCTTTTTGGGGGTGTGGAGGCTGGAGAGGACACAGGGTCTTACCAGACTGGCTTCGAACTCCTGGGCTCAAGCGATCCTCCTGCCTCAGCCTCCCGAGGAGCTGGGACTATAGGAGTGAACCACTGTGCCTACTGTTTTCTCCTTGACTTTTAGGCTTAAAGTTTGATAAACTGCCAAGTGTTGAATATTTGGCTTTATTTAAATCAGCATAGTACCTAAATTTTGTTACTGGTATGAATGATCTTTTACAACGCTTGAAATTTTTATTAAATAAAACATAAGTTCATTTGCTAGTCACAGTCAAGGAAAAACTACCAATTTAAATGAAGTTTGCTTTGGGAATGAAAATGTAAAAAATACTTAGGAATATGGTAATTATATTTTACTATTGTGTAAAAGAATTCTGAACATTTACATATTAACTATGGGCAATAGAGGGTTATACTATTGCTAAATAAATTCAGAATTATTGACCAAAGTCAGTATGCTGACAAAAGTGGAGTGTTTCTGTCTTTTCAGCAGCACAAGTAGATTGCTCCATTTTCCTTTACTTGTAGCTTATACTTTGGTAAGGATGTTTTAAGTCTGGTAGTAAAGACTATAGTTTAAAGCCAGTTTATATTTATCTATTTAATTTATTTACTTATCTAATTTATTTATGAGATGGGATCTCGCTATGTAGCCCAGATTGGATTTGAACTTGTGGTCCTCCTGCCCTGGCCTCCCCCGTGCTGTGATTACAGGCTCATGGCCACCACACCTGGTGCCAATTTTTAAATAGATTATTTAATCACATCTGAATTCAGGTTCTAGATTTACTGCTGCATTCGTGGTTTATGACAGTTTCTTTAACATAATACATTTCTTCCTCACTCCTTCTGTGTGGGAGGGGCAGTACTGGGCACTGAACTCACGGTCTCAGCTTGCTAGGCAGTTGCTCTGCCACTTGAACCATGCCCAGTCCTTTTGCTTTTTAGTTTTTCAGACAGGATCTCATGCTAACTTTGCCCAGGCTGGCCTCAGAATGCAATTCTCCTACCTTTGCCTCCCTATACAGGTGGGATTACAGTTGTGTATCACTATACCTGAGTCATTTTTGAGATAGGGTCTTGCTTTTTTGCATAAGCTGAACTTTAACCACTATCCTCACATTTCTGCCTCCAGAGAAGCTTCCTTTTTCTTTTTCTCCTTTCTGAGTTTTAGCTATCATTCTGAATCACACTTTAGGCTTAACTGGTTTTCTGTGTAAGTAGTTTTTCCATAAATGAGTTAAGAGGAGGTAAGTTTAATACTACCAAGGAACAAAATGCAGTTCTGCATTCCAAGTTTTTTGCTCACTGTAATTATAATTTGGTTAATTGGCTGTAATTGTCTTTGATATCTGTTTAGCTTGTGAAAAAAGGTACTTGAACACTGAACACCTTTTGAAAGATAGCTGATAGAATGAGACAGTGGGTAGTTGAAGGAATTCCCACACTTAAGTTGCTTTTAACAAAGATGAAAATTAAATCTTTTTTTTTTTTAGCAGTACTGGGGGGTTGAACGCCTCAGGGCCTCTTGCCTAGGCAGGCACTCTACCATTTTGATCTGCCTCAGATTTAATTAGGGGAAATTCATTAATATTTGAGGATTTATAAAATGTTTAATTTGCTTCTTAAAAACGTTTTCAGTTAGTACCAAAAAAATGCCAGGAAAGGACATGAGATTTAGTGTGCACACAGTAAGTACAAGATGACTCTTCCTTGTATTGTGGACTATTTAAAATGGTGTTGGGTGAATAATATAAAGTCCTAATAAAATCTGAATAAAAGAAACCGAAGGAAGCATGTTTTGAGATACTTTTATTTTTTGAAGGACTTTTAAAATTTTAAACTACAAAACAGACTCCATACATTCTGCCATAAATAAAAACAAACAATAAGGCAGGACTCTACATAAGCAAACTAAGAACAACTGTTTTTCAGAAAATGTGATAAAATGCTTTACAATCATCATAAGCCATCCAGTTTTTAAAATAAAACTGTGGAAAACTCACAAATCTTCAAGTGCACATACAAGACACCCTTGAAGAGGAAACAAAATGTGGTTCTGCCATTTTGTACTATTCTCACATTTTGTAAAACCTAATCTTGCTTAAAGCATAGGTCTGTTCCATATTCTAAAATTCACACAGGTTTTGTTTTTTTTTCTCAAAAACCATATGATAGAGGCACCAATGACAATACACCTTTGTTTCCAAGTACCTTGTAACAAAGTGTTGTCTCTTTTAAACATATGACTTAAGAGGCAAAAAGGGAATCCTGGGAGTTTCCTCTCAGA